ATTTTTTTTTGTACTCTATGACGTTTTAATTTCCTCTGTTTACCAAATCTGAGTAATTGAAATTTTCATCGTTGAATTCATATTGTTTTTGCAGCCCATAAAAGATTTGGTTGATGTTCCCGGGAGTTTTGCGGTCGCAATGGAAGACACTGTCTTGCAGATTCGGGTGTCATTGCAAAGGAAGACACGGTGCTTTGGGCTGACATCCTTGTTATTTTCGGATATAAGGATGAGGAAAAAGTGGGAGCGAGTACTGTGCCTTGGGGAAAACAGAGTTTTTCACCGTACTGCCTCGGACTTTACTCTGTTGCGATACTCTCTGTGTTCTTTTAGTGGGAAATTATAACCCATCGACCGATTTTTCCTTTTATTCCTTTAGCAGCATTTTGTCGCTATTACGCCATGGCACACTTGTCGAAGGCTTTTGCAAAGTCGTTATTTACTCTGCATTCTTTTTGTTTCAGTGATTTGGACCTTGCTAGGGGCCCAAAATAGTTGGGACAGACGGAGGGGACCTGTTCTAAACCCTGTTCCCTGGGTTGTGTAAGATGGGTTTCTGATGCGGGGGGGGGTGATCTTGCTTCTTAGGCCCTTTTCAAAGATTTTTATGTATGGATGTTGTGCTTTTTGGTTTTCTTAGTTCTTTGCTGTTGCTTTACTCCCCCCTTTGGGAGTGGGGCTATGTCTGTTGTTTTTAGTAACTGTGGACGACCCCGTGTCCATGCTCCCTTCCATAGGTGGAAAAGGTCGTGATGGGGGGCTTCTGCAGTTCTTGATAACAAGGGTTCCATGAGTCTGGGCCCGGGGGGGGCGAGTGCAGGGCATTTTTTATCCCCTGTTCGAAGTCATTTGGCGTCGGAAAACAGGGATGGCTTGGTTAATCAATTTTGGGCTCTCTCATAAAAAAATTCATTTTGACTTCGACTCCATTGGTTAGCGGCTTGCAAAAACTGAGTCAAAATTTGGGATTGAGTACCCTCATTTCCTTGCTGTCTTCGTGTAGGACCCATCTGTTTAAGTGGGGGCCCCAATACTGGACGTTGTTCTCGTTTTTGATTTGGAAAGGGAGAAAAATACTTTGGGTTTTTTCGATTTCATTTAGGGTTTTTTTTCTTCCGCGATTCCTGACTCCTAAAGGATTTTTTTAGTTAAGTTTTGATGCTTGCATTTTCTGACCATGTCTCCCTGCGCATTTAGTAATTGACCTCTTTTGCCGCTCTGTTATTTTTTTCCGTCCCTGTAAAGGGAGGCCTGTTCTTTCTATTTTAATCTACTCCTTTTTTCTTAAGGAATAAGCTTGTGCTACATCGGGCCCCGAGTTAATTGTTCTAGGCATAAATTTGGGGGCTGTGTTGCTTTGTTATCTTCCCCCGTTATTCGGGTTTGGACTTGGTTTCTTGGTCCCACTTTATTTTTTTTTTATTGAAATTGAAATTTTGGGGAATGTCCCTCGGACTAGTCTCATTTTGTCCCGGTTGGGGGTCCACGCATAATGTCTGAGTAATGGTGGTTGGGGATTTCAATGTAAAGTGGGTAAAAATTTTATGGAAGGAGTTAGGTAAAATTTGGGGGGCCAGGGGGAAATGTAAATGGGGAGCCTTTAATTTGGTATGTGTAAAAGAAATTTGGTAATAAGTAAAACATTTTTTGAAAAAGAGGTAAATAAAAATTTCAAGGATGATTGCACGTAAAAGAAAGTATTTTTTTAGATTTTTTATTGGGGGATAAAAGGTTGTGGGTAGGCCCAGGATGTAATTTTTTAGAGGGCAACTGTATATCGGATCATTATTTTGTTGTAACAGTTAGAGTAAAAGGTAGATGGGAAAAAAAGGGAAGTGGCAACAAAAAGTAAGAGGGAGGTGAAAATGTATAAAAATAAGGAGGAGGAAGTTCGGGTGAGATATAAGGACTTTGGGAGAAAAGGGGGGCTGTGCAAAGATGATAGTGGGGGGGGTTTAAGAGGGTTGGGAAAAGTTTTTTAAAAAGCGTATTTAAAAGTGGGGGGAGAATTTGTGGTTTTTTAGGGGGGTGGGGGCAGGGGGAAAGAGGAGTGATTTGGGGGAATGATGAAGTAAAAGGGGGTGATAAAAGAGAAAAAGGTACTTTTGAGGGTTTTTTACAAAGCAGAAGGGTTTTAAGAAGAGCAAGTATATGGAGAGTAAAGAAAGGTAAGAGAGTGGTGAGAGAGTGCAAAAGGAGAGCAGATGATAGGTGGGAGAGGACTGTCAAGAAATTTTAAAGAAAATAAGAAAAAAAAAATTTTGGGGTGGTTAAACAAGTTTGAAAGCCTAGGGAAAATATGGATTTGTCAGTTAAAAACAAGGGGGAGTTAGTAGATGGGGAGATGGAGGTATTGGGGAATGGCGAAATATTTTGGAACTTTTAAAGTTTAAGGAAGAAACAGAGGCAGTAATTTCATGCACGGTCAGGGAGGTATACCATCTTTTAGGAGTGAAGAAAAGCAGAATTAAGTGTGGGGGAGGTACGTGAGGCATTCGTAAAAAGAAAGGGGGTAAAACAGTGGAACTGATGGGGTCATGACGAAATGTTAAAAGCAGGGGGGGTATAGTGTTGGGGGTTGGTACTTTTTTTAAAAGTATGAAAGAGGGAAGGTTTCCTAGGGATTTGGCAGAGAGCATGATGTCCCCCTTTTATAAAGGGAAAGGGGGACAAAAGAACTGTAAAAATTTTAGAGGAATAAGCTTACTGAGTATACCGGAAAAATGAAAAGGTAGGGTTTAATTGAAAAAATTGAGGGAAGACAGAATGTAGGATTGCGGATGAGCAAGGGGGTTTTAGAGTGGGAGAGGATGTGTTTGATCAGGTGTTTACATTGAAGCAATATGTGAACAGTATTTAGATAAAGATAGGAAAGTTTTTATTGCTTTATGGATTTAGAAAAGGCATATGATAGAGTGGATAGGGGGAGCAATGTGGCAGATGTTGCAAGTATATGGAATAGGTGGTAAGTTATAAATGCTGTAAAGAGTTTTTATGAGGATAGTGAGGCTCAGGTTAGGGTGTGTAGAAGAAGGGAGACTACCCCCCCGGGTAAAAGTAGGTCTTAGACAGGGATGTGTAATGTCACCATGTTGTTTAATATATTTATAGATGGGTTGTAAAGGAAGTAAATGCTAGGGTGTTTGGGAGGGGGGTGGGATTTAATATGGGAATCAAATTCAAAATGGGAATTGACACAGTTACTTTTTGCTGATGATACTGTGCTTATGGGAGATTCTAAAAAAAAAATTGCAAAGGTTAGTGGATGATTTTGGGAATGTGTGTAAAGGTAGAAAGTTGAAAGTGAAAAATAGAAAAGAGTAAGGTGATGAGGGTGTCAAATGATTTAGATAAAGAAAAATTGGATACAAATTGGGGAGGAGGAGTATGGAAGAAGTGAATGTTTTCAGATACTTGGGAGTTGACGTGTGGGCGGATGGATTTATGAAGGATGAGATTAATCATAAAAATTTGATGAGGGAAAAAAGGTGAGTGGTGCGTTGAGGTATATGTGGAGTCAAAAAAACGTTATCTCTGGGGGCAAAGAAGGGAATGTATGAAAGTATAGTAGTACCAACACTCTTATATGGGTGTGAAGCTTGGGTGGTAAATGCAGCAGCGAGGAGACGGTTGGAGGCAGTGGAGATGTCCTGTTTTTAAAGGGGAATGTGTGGTGTAATATATTATGCAGAAAATTCGGAGTGTGGAAATTAGGAGAAGGTGTGAGTTAATAAAAGTATTAGCAGAGGGCAGAAGAGGGGTTGTTGAGGTGGTTTGGTCATTTAGAGAGAATGGATCAAAGTAGAATGACATGGAAAGCATATAAATCTTTAGGGGAAGGAAGGGGGGGGTGGGGGTCGTCCTCGAAAGGGTTGGAGAGAGGGGTAAAGGAGGTTTGTGGGTAAGGGCTTGGACTTCCAGCAAGCGTGCGTGAGCGTGTTAGATAGGAGTGAATGGAGACGAATGATACTTGGGACCTGACGATCTGTTGGAGTGTGAGCAGGGTAATTTTTTAGTGAAGGGATTCAGGGAAACCGGTTATTTTCATATAGTCGGACTTGAGTCCTGGAAATGGGAAGTACAATGCCTGCACTTTAAAGAGGGGTTTGGGATATTGGCAGTTTGGAGGGATATGTTTGTGTATCTTTATATGGGGTATGCTTCTAGACTGTTGTATTCTGAGCACCTCTGCAAAAACAGTGATAATGTGCGAGTGTGGTGAAAGTGTTGAATGATGAAAGTATTTTCTTTTTGGGGATTTTCTTTCTTTTTTGGGTCACCCTGCCTCCGTGGGAGACGGCCGACTTGTTGAAAAAAAAAAAAAGATGTTATCTTCATTATAGAATAATAAGAAAATATTATAACTTCTATATTATAATAATAAGGTAAAAGGACCCCAATGGAAATAAGTCACTCTGTCTGACTTTTTTGGGTTATCCTAGGTTGTCTACACATATGCTGCTATGTTTGATAATCTATGTAACTGTATTTGTGTATACCTGAATAAACTTACTTATTTACTTACTTACTTACTAGTATTTGACTGTCCGAAAAGCCTAGGCATACCTAGGCATACTAATGGCCTTCTTTATAATTATTATTATTATTATATTTTATAATATGTAAACCCCACATTGTAATCTTTACATAGAAATAAAGGATCTGAATCTGAGTTAGTTAGTTAGTTTAATATGTTTATTATGCACCCCATACCCATCCTGTGGGCGGTAGTCAAAAGATTACAGAGGTACATAATTGGTCCAGGGACTGGACTCCAAAGTTTTGATAGCTGAACAAGTTACAGAGGTAATGAACTCACAATTTACAAAGGTAATGAACTCCAGGTAGGTCTGGTCACAATCATGACAAGTTACAAAGGTATTTACAGATTACAGAGGTATGTAATGGGTCCAGGGACTGGGCCCCCAAAGTTTTGATAGCTGAACTAGGTACAAAGGTAATGAGCTCACAAGTTACAAAGGTAATGAATTCTGTAAAATGGCAGCAGCACCTTCAACATACCTGGGAAACTGGTCTCAGGACGGCATAAGCTCTGAAGGCCCTGTAAACCTTAAACAAAGGAAGAAAAAAGAAAAGTGGTCGTAAGTTCCTTACTTATAACTATTGAAGTTAGTTTTTTCCCTGGCTTCTCTACTTTTGAGTGCTCTGAATAGTACTTAATGTGGTAGATTAGGGTTTTAAGGTAGTTTTAAGACGGTAAAGTGATAATTTACTGTCAAATATGAGTAATATTAAAGTTTGGAGCTCTAATACAAACACTTTGTCCCATATAGAAATATTTAAATATTTTAACTCATTATTAAAGCTTATTGGGTGTGTTTCCTTACACATCAGGTGAAAGGAAACGCACCCAATGTGTCCCCCCGGCCGGTGATTGAACCAAGGACACTGCGAGGCGAGAGCGTTGCCAACCAGGCCACGGGACACTGGGGTACCTAGGTACTTATTGGTAGATAAACGGGGAGAGCAGGTGTAAAGGAATATTGTCAACATTTCAATTTATCCGGGACTAAACTCTAATCTCCAGTCCTTTACTTGTGAGTTGAGTTTGCTGGGAAAGTATGCAGTACCATAATCTGTAAGGATTTAATGTTAAGAATTAATCTAAGTCTGCTCGAAATGCCTAGCCAGGCTAGGCCCCCTCTGTAATTAGTATTTTATAACATGTAAACCACACATTATCCAAAACCTGTAAACCCCACACTGTAACCCTTATAGAGAATAAACTTGAATTATGATTTTAGGTTTTTGGGCTTTAGCATCCAGCAGGCCTGTGTTGTTTGTTAGATAGGAGGAAATGGAGAGAGAGTTTTTAATAGGCGTACTGTTGGAGTGTATCAGAGGTAACATTTATGAACGGATTCAGGAAAGCTAGGCTGGACAAGTTCTAGGGGTGGCAGAGGTAGTGCCAGCACTCCGAAGGATGGGTGTGGATGTTGTAATCAGAGGGCAATCTGAATGTGATGTCAGCACACTTCTGGCAGACAGCAGCTGAATGAATGATGGTGAATGTGTTTCCCAGTGTTAACCATTGCAAATCTTATCACCCCCCACAATGGATTAGTCTAGAGCTGAACTTATTATTTCAGAGGAGAGAAGTAGGGAATTTTCAGCTCAAATGCTTACTTGGCAGACTATGATACCCAACCTGATAGATGATGCCTGCACCTCTTCCAACATCATTGCTTTGCCTATATGTGTATTTCTTTACCCATTGCTCTTTTTAGACTTGATAAAAGCTTGATTTCTAGGTGAAATGTTATCCTCAATAAAATATTTGCACTGCTATAGTGTCTTTTTTTAGAAAAATATAATTTAATAAAAAAATGTTGTCAACCATTAAAAATATTTAGTGTACATTGGTTTTAAGAAATTATTACTTGTTTTTCAGGAGGACGTCCTGTAGTTCAGAATGTCTGACGTGGAAGGGTGAGATGATCGTAATTTGTTTATTCTCAGATACTTCTCGTAATTGCTTATAAGTTAACATAAACTGCTATGAATGATGTTTTTGTGATTTCTTGTTTATAATTTTAAGTCATTTGATTTGGGAAAGTTTATGCCCCTCTGAATTTATGGGGCATCAGTTTTGAACATGTACACTAAATTACGTATATATACACTGTATATATAGCTTCCTTCTAAATATCAGTAGTGAAAAGAGTAAATGCTTGAACAGGCCCAAAAACTATAAGAGCCATTCCTAAATAATTATGTCCATTGAGCAACTGAAGTGATGTATTTAAACCTTGTATGAAATTATTTTATCTGATATCTAATTTCTCAGTTGTAGTTTGCAAGTGCAGGTTAGTAAACATCACCACCCAGTATTTGACCATCCCACATATATGATTGATGTTAATTAAGTATTGCTCTTGACTTAAACTATCAAGGACAACTTTTTTTTTTTAGATTTTGGTAGTGCACAATAGATTAAAAAATTATTCCAGTGTCAGGAATTTTAGTAAAATTATAGAACAGTTACAACATTACATAAGAACATAAGAAAGGAGGAACACTGCAGGAGGCCTGCTGGCCCATACTAGGCAGGTCCTTTACAATTCATCCCACTAACAAAACATTTACCCAACCCAATTTTCAATGCTACCCAAGAAATAAGCTCTGATGTGAAAGTCCCACTCAAATCCAACCCTTCCCACTCATGTACTTATCCAACCTAGATTTGAAACTACCCAAAGTCCTAGCCTCAATAACCCAACTAGGTAGACTGTTCCACTCATCAACTACCCTATTTCCAAACCAATACTTTCCTATGTCCTTTCTAAATCTAAACTTATCTAATTTAAATCCATTACTGCGGGTTCTCTCTTGGAGAGACATCCTCAAGACCTTATTAATATCCCCTTATTAATACCTATCTTCCACTTATACACTTCGATCAGTCTCCCTCATTCTTCGTCTAACAAGTGAATGTAACTTAAGAGTCTTCAATCTTTCTTCATAAGGAAGAATTTCTGATGCTATGTATTAATTTAGTCATCCTAACGCTGAATGTTTTCTAACGAATTTATGTCCATTTTGTAATACGGAGACCAGAACTGAGCTGCATAATCAAGGTGAGGCCTTACTAATGATGTATAAAGCTGCAGTATGACCTCTGGACTTCTGTTGCTTACACTTCTTGATATAAATCCCAGTAATCTATTTGCCTTATTACGTACGCTTAGGCATTGCTGTCTTGGTTTAAGGTTGCTGCTCACCATAACCCCCAAGTCCTTTTCGCAATCTGTATGGCTAAGTTCTACATCATTTAATTTATAAGTACTAGGGTTATGGGCACTCCCAAGCTTCAGAACCTTGCACTTATCTACATTGAACTGCATCTGCCACTTTTCTGACCAAGATAGAGTTTGTTTAGTCCTCCTGAAGTTCCCTAACATCTACGTTTGAATCATTATCCTACCTATCTTTGTGTCATCGGCGAATTTGCTCATATCACTAGTAATTCCCTCATCAAGATCATTGATATATTTATAAACAACAACGGACCCAAGACTGATCCCTGTGGAACGCCACTTGTTACAGATCCCCACTCGGATTTAACCCCATTTATGGACACTCTCTGCTTCCTGTCAGTGAGCCATGACTCGATCCACGAGAGCACTTTTCCCCCAATGCCATGGGCTGCCACTTTCTTTAACAGTCTATGGTGCGGAACTCTATCAAAAGCCTTACTAAAATCTAAGTAAATAATATCAAATTCTTTATGTGGTCAACAGCCTCAAAAGCTTTACTGAAGAAAGTTAATAAATTAGTTAGACAAGACCGGCCTCTTGTGAATCCATGCTGAGTATCATTAATCAAGCTATGCTTATCGAGATGGCTTCTTATAATCTCAGCTATAATTGACTCTAGTAATTTGCCTACAATTGAGGTCAGGCTTATTGGGCGGTAATTTGACGGTAACGACTTGTCCCCTGTTTTAAAAATAGGAGTTACATTAGCCATCTTCCACATATCAGACACTACACCTGTTTGAAGAGATAAATTAAAAATATTAGTTAATGGTTCACAGAGTTCCATTTTGCATTCCTTAAGAACCCTTGAAAAAACCTCATCAGGACCCGGCGACTTATTTTGCTTCAGTCTGTCTATCTGCCTCACAACCATCTCACTAGTGACTGTGATGTTACATAATTTATCTTCTTCTAGCCCACTGTAAAAATTAATTACTGGAATATTGTTAGTGTCTTCCTGTGTAAAAACTGAGAGAAAATAATTATTTAAAATCAAGCACATTTCATTCTCATTGTCAGTAAGGTGCCCATAGTTTATTTTTAAGGGGACCTATCTTATCTCTAACTTTTGTTCTATAGACCTGGAAAAAACTTTTTGGGTTAGTTTTAGAATCCCTAGCAACTTTAATTTCATAGTCCCTTTTAGCTTTTCTTATCCCCTTTTTAATGTCCCTCTTAATGTCAATATACTGATTCATAAGATGACCCTCACCTCTTTTGATACGCCTATAAATTCCTTTCTTAGCCCTAGTAGATATTTGAGCCTATTATTCATCCATTTTGGGTCATTTCTATTTGATCTAATTTCTTTATATGGGATAAACGCTCTTTGGCAGCATGTATAGTGTTCAGAAAACTGTCATATTGATAGCTCTCTTCGTTACCCCAGTCAACAGATGATAAGTGTTCTTTAAGCCCATCGTAATCTGCTAAGCGAAAATCTGGGACTGTTTACTGAGTTATCGCTACTATCGTACTTCCATTCAATGCTAAATGTAATTGATTTGTGGTCGCTAGCACCCAGTTCCTCTGAAATTTCTAAATTATTAACAAGGGATTCATTGTTTGCCATAACTAAGGTCAAGCAGGTTATTTCCCCTTGTAGGTTCTGTCACAAACTGCTTCAAAAAACATCCTGAAATACTTCTAAGAAGTCGTACGATCTAAATTCCCAGTCAAGAAATTCCAATCAACATGACTAAGTTAAAGTCTCCTAGAATTACTACATTATCGTGCCTTGTGGCCTTAACAATTTCCTCCCATAGTAGTTTCCCCTTGGTCCCTATCTAAGTTAGGGGGACGGTATATCACTCCTAAAATCAGTTTTTCATGCCCCTCTGAAAATTCTATCCAAACAGACTCTGTATGTGTTACTTCAGACTTAATACCCGTTTTTTATGCAACAGTTCAAGCGATCTCGGACGTACAATGCCACCCCACCCCCCCTCCCAATACTTCTATCTTCTTGGAACAATTTAAAACCCTGAATATGACATTCCGCAGGCAATGTCCCGACTTTTTGAATTAAACCACGTCTCAGTTAAGGCAAATACATCAATGTTACCTACACTAGCAACTAATCTCAACTCGTCCATCTTATTCCTAGCACTACGGCAATTAGCCATAATAAACATTGAAAGACTCTCCTTTCTCTTTAACCCTTCCTGCTCATTTCTATTTTTCTACTAAACCTATTACCGTCATTATCACCCAAGGTCCCTGGCTTTCAATATCTATCTCGTTCATATTATTACAGTTCCCCTAGTACACGTCATATTACTACACTGGTGACTTCACTGTTTTCCTGCTCAAAAACACCATACCACTAACTATACCTAGTTTAAAGCCTAACAGCTCCCTCCCTGCAGTTGCCAGTGCTCCACCCCATAAGCAAGGATTATTGTACATTACAGTAATTATATTGATTACAAAGTGTACATAGCATTAAACCACTCTATCAATAGACCTCAATTTGGAAAACAATCGACAATGTTCAAATTGTTCACAGAATTGTCCATATTGCTAGGAAGGATCATTTCAAACAATCTCATCTCAATCCCCACAAGTGCCATTTCTGCCACCTACTATCCCTAATAATCTGTTAAATTTACTTGTTCACTGTATTCAGATTGTGGATTGTTTTGTGTAGATTTTAAAATTTTTACTGTATAATTTACCACTACAGTACGTTTACTTTCAGAGATATTAGTGTTTCCCGAATGCAGTTGGTGGCCCCATGGACCTAATACAGCAGTCCCAGGAAGTGCTAAGCAGCCTCTTATGGCTATGGTCTGCTCGTGACTCCAAGAAGCTGGAAAGGCTTTAGACAAGTAATAAATATTAAATTTGTGAAAATTACATATATTTTTAGGGTTAGAGATTCACTTGGAATCTACTCCATCATGTCAGAACATTTAGAATTACCTTATTGGCTGAATCTTGGATGTATCAGGTGATGTGGACTGTGTAAGGAAAATGAGATAAAATTATAATCTATACAACTCCCCAGACCCTTACTAACCTTTCACTGTCCTCCAATGTAGATACACCATTGTTTGGTGTAGTGTGCATCTTCAGATATGCTGAGAGCTGTAAATTTATGGCTTAGACATAAAGAATGGGTCTGTGTGGTGAGTGTGCATACTATAAGAAAATTGTTAGTAATGCTGTGTACTGTGCTTCCCTTATTGATGCTATCTAACTGTCCCTAGTTTTAGTGTACCTTTTCCCTCACAAGTATTGTTTTTGTTATTGTTTTTGCATTCCACAGTTTTGTGGTGTTATTTTTTATGTGTTTGTGATGGTGTCGTGTTTGTTTAGGTTTTGTTGAAAAAGGATGAAGCAAATTAATTAGAGGAGTAGATGATTAGAGAATTCCTAATGAATTGAACGGTGAGGATGGATTGGGATATTAAGGGTTTCAACAGACACTTAAAATGGCACTTTTTAGGGTGAATATTTATTTCTCTACAAGGTTACACCAGTGCTAGTGTAAGAGTATTTATTTTGCAGTTGCGCTCTAACCTTATCTAGAACTGTGCTCTGTGACTTAATTTTTCAAGGGCACTGCTTGAGCACCATTGTGCATTTCATTTCTTGATGCTGTTAAGTGACATCGTTTAGTGCTATTTTCACTATTACTGATGCTGTGTTGATAACTATACTTTTTGTTTTTTATAGATTAATAATTCTTTATTTTAGTTTGTATTTTTTTAAGACTGTTTGTTTCACTTCCAGCTTTTATTTAATTTTTGTTTTACCTGCTACAGTCCTATTATTACATTATTATTTTATTAGTAATTTATTATTCTTGAAGATACTTGTGTACCTCTTCCATGATACCCTGTACTGATATTACAAAACGCCCAGTTCCATTCAGTGTGTCTTGTAAATGTATGGAAAATATCTGCCAAATAACCTTGCTTTTGACTGTGCTGGATATTGCATCTCCCCCCCCCCTCTTTTTTTTTTTTCTTTCTTTCCTTGATTAATTGTAGGACTTCCAGGATTACACTATTTTTTTTCCCCTGTTACCTGTACAAGTTTTATTTCTTTTTTGTTGTTGTTTCTAATGCTATTTGTTAGCTGTTTTGCATAAGTTACAAGCTGAGTGTTGTGACAACCACTGGCAACTTTAATTTTCCTGGATCTATTTGTATAACTGTGCTTGGGAAGTCACCTTCATGTCACTTGTGTTTTTCTCTTGTGTGAATTAGATATCACTGTTTTACTATGGATTGTGTTTTATTATTTTTTTTAGGATTGTGAATTTGTCAGTTTCATTTTTTAGAGACCTTGTTCTCTACTTGTAAGTACTATATGTACTTTTTTGAGTAAGAGGAATAGACTACTATTCTATTGGGTCTTGTGCAATCACTGATTGCCTACATTCTAGGTGTAGTATTGCCCCAGTTGCTTCTCAAATGTTTATTTTAGTTTATAAGTGTATATGTTACCCATCTGTTGGCAGCCTGTACAATAAGTGCTTCTTTTATTGCACTGTAACCAAATGCCTAGGACACTTGGTCACAATGCAACAAACCAAGTGCCCTAGGCACTTGGTTTGTGAATGTGTGTGTGTACTCCATCTATCTAGACCTGAGACTATGGGATGCTTCGATCAGGCTATTTGCCCCAAGCTCCCAGAAATATTGGTAATGATGAAATTGGTGGTTGAGCTCTTGGGACATGCAGACCTGTACGTTTTGCCAGTAGCATTATCCAATGACAGGCACTGGTGATGTTTTGTTACCCATCTGGAGACCTGATGTTACAGCTTGTTTCTGTAGGAATTTTTGAGGATGCCTCAGGTGTTGGCAGACACTCAAGACAGACCGAGGTTCTGGTCGACCTGTCCTTTAATGGCTGCTAATTCAAGTAGTTACTCTACAGGGGATAGCCTGTCGGAAAGAGGCTACTTGAATTCGTGATGCCTTTTCCTGTGATTGTCACACGTTGCCTGCAGGAGGACATCCTCTTTAGTGACTAGTAACTCATTTGAGTGTCAAATGTTGTGCTTCAATGTTTTAGGTGACCATGTAGTTGTTGAAGGTAACTTGCAGGCTTAAGAATGTGTTGTAGCACAATTTTTGAGCCCTGCCATACTTGATACTCTGTGTGACTATGTGCCACCTTGCATTGCTTTGTGATTGTCTGCTGTCCTACGTTGCTTTTGTGACTGTACCCATGCAGTGTTCCATGCGGCTGTATTGTTTGTCAGTATGTTCTCATTTCTAGATGACTAATGACCCTGAGACCAAAGAACGTTGTATCTGTTATCACAGACTTAGACGTAGCATCTTTGAGTGCCAGTGTTCCATCTGATGCTTACTCTGCTTATGCCACTTGTGTAATATATTTAGAATTTCTTTGTATATTAACAATTTTAAGTATCCTTTGAAAGATGAAACAATTTCTTGTATACTGTATATATCAATGTATGTAGCTATAAATAAGTACAACACAATTAGACTGTGGCCCCACATCTAGCCATAGCCCTTGTAATAACCATTGTTTAGTACCCTGCTCTTGCAGGCTTAATAATTTAGTTTTTCTGTGTAGTGCTGTATTTTAATTTTTCATATGGCAGTGTAAAGACATAAAGACAAGACTCAGTGTCTTGTCTTCCACAAACTCTGGATTTCGACAGATTGTAGTCGCCTTCTTTTCACTTTCCTTTTGTAAATATTTTCATCTAGAATTTGTCGAAAGATTTGCCAGTCAATTATTGAGTCATTTAGGATTGATTTATTGTTGATTATGTATCTGTGTTGAATACTTTTTGCATTACTTGACTGTGTGTCTGACTTGAATTGTTTAACTTGAGCTATATACTAGTTTTAAGTTGCAGCCCATGCTCCTTGTGTATTGATGATTAACATTGCTGCTGCTATGTGAGGTTGCCCAGCTGCAGTGGAGCTGAGCTGTTAGCAGTGTATAACCATTGGTCTGGCAGAATCTTACAGCTGGACATAGCATTCTTGCCCTTGTAGTTGAAATGCTGTGTTGATCCATATGTGGTAGGCTTGTATTCCCCAAGCTTACCTTGAGGCTTTGGCCTACTGGCAGCTCAATCAAATCTGGTACTATGATGAAGCAGACATGTGTGGCCCCAGCTCCTTTGTGTACACCTTTTTTTACAATAAACTGCAAGATTGGAAGATGTCTTTTACTCATTCCATTAGCTAGTGAACCCATGCCATTTCCGTCATTTTGTGGGCATAACATTGGCTGTTCTATATGCCCTTATATGAAACTTGCTCATTTATTCCAGAAGTTATTAGCATAACTCCTGAAGGTATTCAGTGGTCACACAGCACTAGTGGCACTAAATAGGTATACTTTACTAATGGTATTAATAATTATCAATAGCATGACATTAGTTGACATTTAAACACCGTTTAAAATGACTTTGATTTTTTTCTGTAACAGGCGCAAGGCTCTTCTGTGCTTGTTAGCAAATAACTGTGATGAGCCTGGTTACTCAAAACTTGTTGAGGCTCTCTGCCAGGAGCATCAGATCAAGCTCCTGAAAGTTGACTCAAATAAAATGTTGGGGGAATGGGCTGGTCTCTGCAAGATTGACCGTGAAGGGAAGGCTCGCAAGATTGTAGGCTGCTCTTGTCTTGTTGTTACTGTAAGTACTGGCTATTATTGCAAGGCTTTCTTTTATTGCCACCTATCCTCTACAGATTCCTCAATGTAATTTTTATTCTTATTTTAGATATTAGCAAAGGTAAAGGCTACAAATTTGTGCTACATGGTGCTGAAGAGTTAGATTATTGCAGCCAGTTCTCAGTCCTCATAGTATGATTTATGCAACTCGTAATGCTAGAAAATATGACTTTTATTACCCTTAATGTTAGAAAACATGATTTTTTATACCCTTAATATGTAAAAAAAAAAAAAAAAAAATAGTAGTAGGTTGGTAGACAGCAACCACCCAGGGAGGTACTACCGTCCTGCCAAGTGAGTGTAAAACGAAAGCCTGTAATTGTTTTACATGATGGTAGGATTGCTGGTGTCTTTTGTCTGTCTCATAAATATGCAAGATTACAGGTATGTCTTGCTACTTCTACTTACACTTAGGTCACACTACACATCCATGTACACGTTTATTTATACACACTCATCTGAGTTTTCTTTGATTTTATCTTAATAGTTCTTGGTCTTATTACTTTTCCTTTTATATCCATGGGGAAGTGGAATAAAAATCTTTCCTCCGTAAGCCATGCGTGTTGTAAAAGTCAACTAAAATGCCGGGAACAATGGGCTAGTAACCCCTTTTCCTGTAAAGATTACTAAAAAGAATAAGAAGAAGAAAATTGTCAAAGTGGGAAGTCTGAATATGCGTGGATGTTGTGCAAATGATAAGAAAGAGATGATTGTGGATGTTATGAATGAGAAGAAGCTGGATGTCCTGGCTTTAAGTGAAACAAAGCTGAAGGGGGTGGGAGAGTTTCAATGGAGAGGAACAAATTAGGTCAGGGGTTTCAAATAGAGTTAGAGCTAAAGGAGTAGCAATAATGTTGAAGCATAAGCTATGGCAGGAAAAGAGGGACTATAAATGTATTAATTCAAGGATTATGTGGAGCAAAATAAAGATTGGATGTGAAAAGTGGGTTATAATAAGCGTGTATGCACCTGGAGAAGAGAGAACTGTAGAGGAGAGAGAGAGATTTTGGGAAATGTTGAGTGAATGCGTGGGGAGTTTTGAATCAAGTGTGAGAGTAATGGTGGTTGGGGATTTCAATGCTAAGTGGGTAAAAATGTTATGGAGGGAGTAGTAGGGAAATTTGGGGTGCCAGGGGTAAATGTAAATGGGGAGCCTTTTATTGAGCTATGTGTAGAAAGAGATTTGGTAATAAGCAATACATTTTTTTTTTATTATTATCACACTGGCCGATTCCCACCAAGGCAGGGTGGCCCGAAAAAGAAGAACTTTCACCATCATTCACTCCATCACTGTTTTGCCAGAAGGGTGCTTTACACTACAGTTTTTAAACTGCAACATTAACACCCCTCCTTCAGAGTGCAGGCACTGTACTTCCCATCTCCAGGACTCAAGTCCGGCCTGCCGGTTTCCCTGAACCCCTTCATAAATGTTACTTTGCTCACACTCCAACAGCACGTCAAGTATTAAAAACCATTTGTCTCCATTCACTCTTATCAAACACGCTCACGCATGCCTGCTGGAAGTCCAAGCCCCTCGCACACAAAACCTCCTTTACCCCCTCCCTCCAACCTTTCCTAGGCTGACTCCTACCCCGCCTTCCTTCCACTACAGACTGATACACTCTTGAAGTCACTCTGTTTCGCTCCATTCTCTCTACGTGTCCGAACCACCTGAACAACCCTTCCTCAGCCCTCTGGACAACAGTTTTGGTAATCCCGCACCTCCTCCTAAATTCCAAACTACGAATTCTCTGCATTATATTCACACCACACATTGCCCTCAGACATGACATCTCCACAGACTCCTAAGTGCACCACTCACCCTTTTCCCCTCATCAATTCTATGATTCACCTCATCTTTCATAGACCCATCTGCTGACACGTCCACTCCCAAATATCTGAATACATTCACCTCCTCCATACTCTCTCCCTCCAATCTGATATCCAATCTTTCATCACCTAAACTTTTTGTTATCCTCATAACCTTACTCTTTCCTGTATTCACTTTTAATTTTCTTCTTTTGCACACCCTACCAAATTCATCCACCAATCTCTGCAACTTCTCTTCAGAATCTCCCAAGAACACAGTTTCATCAGCAAAGAGCAACTGTGACAACTCCCACTTTGTGTGATTCTTTATCTTTTAACTCCACGCCTCTTGCCAAGACCCTCGCATTTATTTCTCTTACAACCCCATCTATAAATATATTAAACAACCACGGTGACATCACACATCCTTGTCTAAGACCTACTTTTACTGGGAAATAATTTCCCTCTTTCCTACATACTCTAACTTGAGCCTCACTATCCTCATAAAAACTCTTCCCTGCTTTCAGTAACCTACCTCCTACACCATACACCTGCAACATCTGCCACATTGCCCCCCTATCCACCCTGTCATATGCCTTTTCCAAATCCATAAATGCCACAAAGACCTCTTTAGCCTTATCTAAATACTGTTCACTTATATGTTTCACTGTAAACACCTGGTCCACACATCCCCTACCTTTCCTAAAGCCTCCTTGTTCATCTGCTATCCTATTCTCCGTCTTACTCTTAATTCTTTCAATAATAACTCTATCATACACTTTACCAGGTATACTCAACAGACTTATCCCCCTATAATTTTTGCACTCTCTTTTGTCCCCTTTGCCTTTATACAAAGGAACTATGCATGCTCTCTGCCAATCCCTAGGTACCTTACCCTCTTCCATACATTTATTAAATAATTGCACCAACCACTCCAAAACTGTATCCCCACCTGCTTTTAACATTTCTATCTTTATCTCATCAATCCCAGCTGCCTTACCCCCTTTCATTTTACCTACTGCCTCACTAACTTCCCCCACACTCACAACTGGCTCTTCCTCACTCCTACAAGATGTTATTCCTCCTTGCCCTATACACAAAATCACAGCTTCCCTATCTTCAACATTTAACAATTCCTCAAAATATTCCCTCCATCTTCCCAATACCTCTAACTCTCCATTTAATAACTCTCCTCTCCTATTTTCAACTGACAAATCCATTTGTTCTCTAGGCTTCCTTAACTTGTTAATCTCACTCCAGAACTTTTTCTTATTTTCAACAAAATTTGTTGATAACATCTCACCCACTCTCTCATTTGCTCTTTTTACATTGCTTCACCACTCTCTTAACCTCTCTCTTTTTCTCCATATACTCTTCCCTCCTTGCATCACTTCTACTTTGTAAAAACTTCTCATATGCTAACTTTTTCTCCCTTACTACTCTCTTTACATCATCATTCCACCAATTGCTCCTCTTCCCTCCCACACCCACCTTCCTGTAACCACAAACTTCTGCTGAACACTCTAACACTACATTTTTAAACCTACCCCATACCTCTTCGACCCCATTGCCTATGCTCTCATTAGCCCATCTATCCTCCAATAGCTGTTTATATCTTACCCTAACTGCATCCTCTTTTAGTTTATAAACCTTCACCTCTCTCTTCCCTGATGCTTCTATTCTCCTTGTATCCCATCTACCTTTTACTCTGTGTAGCTACAACTAGAAAGTGATCTGATATATCTGTGGCCCCTCTATAAACATGTACATCCTGAAGTCTACTCAACAGTCTTTTATCTACCAATACATAATCCAACAAACTACTCTCATTTCACCTTACATCATATCTTGTATACTTATTTATCCTCTTTTTCTTAAAATATGTATTACCTATAACTAAACCCCTTTCTATACAAAGTTCAATCAAAGGGCTCCCATTATCATTTACACCTGGCACCCCAAACTTACCTACCACACCCTCTAAAAGTTTCTCCTACTTTAGCATTCAGGTCCCCTACCACTATTATTCTCTCACTTGGTTCAAAGGCTCCTATACATTCACTTAACATCTCCCAAAATCTCTCTCTCTCCTCTACATTCCTCTCTTATCCAGGTGCATACACGCTTATTATGACTCACTTTTCGCATCCAACCTTTACTTAAATCCACATAATTCTTGAATTTACACATTCATATTCTCTTTTCTCCTTCCACAACTGATCCTTCAACATTACTGCTACCTCTTCCTTTGCTCTAACTCTCTCAGATACTCCAGATTTAATCCCATTTATTTTCCCCCACCGAAATTCCCCTACCCCCTTCAGCTTTGTTTCGCTTAGGGCCAGGACATCCAACTTCTTTTCATTCATAACATCAGCAATCATGTGTTCCTTATCATCCGCACTACATCCACGCACATTCAAGCATCCCAGTTTTATAAAGTTTTTCTTCTCTTTTTTAGTAAATGTCTACAGGAGAAGGGGTTACTAGCCCATTGCTCCCGGCATTTTAGTCGCCTCATACGACATGCATGCCTTACAGAGGAAAGATTCTTTTCCACTTCACCATGGACAATAGAAGAAATAAGAACAAGAGCTATTTAGAAAAAGGAGAAAAACCTAGATGTATGTATATATATACGTATGCATGTGCGTGTCTGTGAAGTGTGACCAAAGTGTAAGTTGGAGTAGCAAGATATCCCTGTTATCTAGCGTGTTTATGAGACAGAAAAAGAAACCAGCAATCCTACCATCATGCAAAACAGTTACAGGTTTCTGTTTCACAGTCATCTGGCAGGACGGTAGTACTTCCCTGGGTGGTTGCTGCCTACCAACCTACTACCTACAAATACATATTTTATGAAAAAGAGGATAAATAAATGTACAAGGTATGATGTAGCACGTAATGAAAGTAGTTTATTAGATTATGTATTGGTGGATAAAAGGTTGATGGGTAGGCTCCAGGATGTACATGTTTATAGAGGGGCAACTGATATATCGGATCATTATTTAGTTGTAGCTACAGTTAGAGTAAGAGGTAGATGGGAAAAGAGGAAGGTGGCAACAACAAGTAAGAGGGAGGTGAAAGTGTATAAACTAAGGGAGGAGGAAGTTTGGGTGAGATATAAGCGACTATTGGCAGAAAGGTGGGCTAGTGCAAAGATGAGTAGTGGGGGGGTTGAAGAGGGTTGGAATAGTTTTAAAAAGGCAGTATTAGAATGTGGGGCAGAAGTCTGTGGTTATAGGAGGGTGGGGGCAGGAGGAAAGAGGAGTGATTGGTGGAATGATGAAGTAAAGGGTGTGATAAAAGAGAAAAGGGTAGCTTATGAGAGGTTTTTACAAAGCAGAAGTGTTATAAGAAGAGCAGAGTATATGGAGAGTAAAAGAAAGGTGAAGAGATTGGTGAGAGAGTGCAAAAGGAGAGCAGATGATAGAGTGGGAGAGGCACTGTCAAGAAATTTTAATGAAATAAGAAAAAATTTTGGAGTGAGTTAAACAAGTTTAGAAAGCCTAGGGAAAGTATGGATTTGTCAGTTAAAAACAGAGTAGGGGAGTTAGTAGATGGGGAGATGGAGGTATTAGGTAGATGGCGAGAATATTTTGAGGAACTTTTAAATTTTAAGGAAGAAAGAGAGGCGGAAAATTCATGCACTGGTCAGGGAGGTATACCATCTTTTAGGAGTGAAGAAGAGCAGAATGCAAGTGTGGGGAGGGGACGCGAGGCATTACGTAGAATGAAAGGAGGTAAAGCAGCTGGAACTGATAGTTATAGATGATTCCATTCATCATAACTACTAACAGACCAGGTTTTTAAATATTTTTAATATTTATATATATATATATATATATATATATAATAATATATATATATAATATATATATATATTTATAAAAAATATATATATTTTATATATTTATTTATTTATTTATTTATTTTCAGCAAGTCGGCCATCTCCCACCGAGGCAGGATGACCAAAAAAAAAAGAAAATCCCCAAAAAGAAAATTTCTTTTTCATCTTCAAACACTTTCACCACACTCAACATTATCACTGTTTTGCAAGAGTGCTCAGAATACAACAGTTTAGAAACATATACGTATAAAGATACACAACATATCCCTCCAAACTGCCAATATCCCAAAACCCTCCTTTAAAGTGCAGGGATTGTATTCCCATTTCCCGACTCAAGTCCGACTATATGAAAATAACCGGTTTCCCTGAATCCCTCACTAATATTACCCCGCTCACACTCCAAACAGATCGTCAGGTCCCAAGTACCATTTTCTCCGTTCACTCCTATCTAACATGCTCACGCACGCTTGCTGGAAGTCCAAGCCCCTCGCCCACAAAACCTCCTTTACCCCCTCGCTCCAACCTTTCGAGGTCAACCCCTATAGATTTATGTGCTTTCCATGTCATTCTACTTTGATCCATTCTCTCTAAATGACCAAACCACCTCAACAAACCCCCCTTTTGCCCTCTGACTAATACTTTTATTAACTCCACACCTTTTCCTAATTTCTATACTCCGAATTTTCTGCATAATATTTACACCACACATTGCCCTTAGACAGGACATCTACACTGCCTCCAACCGTCTCCTCGCTGCTGCATTTACCACCCAAGCTTCACACCCATATAAGAGTGTTGGTACTAATATACTTTCATACATTACCTTCTTTGCCTCCATAGATAACGATTTTTGACTCCACATATACCTCAACGCACCACTCACCTTTTTTCCCTCATCAATTCTATGATTAACCTCATCCTTCATAAATCCATCCGCCGACACGTCAACTCTCAAGTATCTCCCATAAGCACAGTATCATCAGCAAAAAGTAACTGTGTCAATTCCCATTTTGAATTTGATTCCCCATAATTTAATCCCACCCCTCTCCCGTACACCCTAGCATTTACTTCTTTTACAACCCCATCTATAAATATATTAAACAACCATGGTGACATTACACATCTCTGTTTAAGACCTACTTTTACCGGAAAGTAGTCTCCCTCTCTTCTACACACCCTAACCTGAGCCTTACTATACTCATAAAAACTCTTTACAGCATTTAGTAACTTACCACCTATTCCATATACTTGCAACATCTGCCACATTGCTCCTCTATCCACTCTATCATATGCCTTTTCTAAATCCATAAATGCAATAAAAACTTCCCTACCTTTATCTAAATACTGTTCACATATATGCTTCAATGTAAACACTTGATCTACACATCCCCTACCCACTCTGAAACCTCCTTGCTCATCCGCAATCCTACATTCTGTCTTACCTCTAATTCTTTCAATTATAACCCTATCATACACTTTTCCTGGTATACTCAGTAAACTTATTCCTCTATAATTTTTACAATCTCTCTTGTCCCCTTTCCCTTTATATAACGGGACTATACATGCTCTCTGCCAATCCCTAGGTACCTTCCTCTCTCTCATACATTTATTAAGTAAAAGTACCAACCACTCTAACACTGTATCTCCCCCTGCTTTTAACATTTCTGTCATGATCCCATCAGTTCTAGCTGCTTTACCCCCTTTCATTCTACGTAATGCCTCACGTACCTCCCCCACGCTTACATTCTGCTCTTCTTCCCTCCTAAAAGATAGTATACCTCCCTGGCCAGTGCATGAAATTACCGCCTCCCTTTCTTCCTTAACATTTAAAAGTTGCTCAAAATATTCTCGCCATCTACCTAATACCTCCCTCTCCCCATCTACTAATTCCCCTACTCTGTTTTTAACTGACAAATCCATACTTTCCCTAGGCTTTCTTAACTTGTTTAACACCAAAATTTTTTCTTATTTTCATTAAAATTTCTTGACAGTGCCTCTCCCACTCTATGATCTGCTCTCCTTTTGCACTCTCTCACCACTCTCTTCACCATTCCTTTACTCTCCATATACTCTGCTCTTCTTATAACACTTCTGCTTTGTAAAAACCTCTCATAAGCTAACTTTTTCTCTTTTATCACACCCTTTACTTCATCATTCCACCAATCACTCCTCTTACCTCCTGCCCCCACCCTCCTATAACCACAAACTTCTGCCCCACATTCTAATACTGCATTTTTTAAAACTATTCCAACCCTCTTCAACCCCCCCACTACTCATCTTTGCACTAGCCCACGTTTCTGCCAATAGTCACTTATATCTCACCCGAACTTCCTCCTCCCTTAGTTTATACACTTTCACCTCCCTCTTACTTGTTGTTGCCACCTTCCTCTTTCCCCATCTACCTCTTACTCTAACTGTAGCTACAAACTAAATAATGATCTGATATATCAGTTGCCCTCTATAATACATGTACATCCTGGAGCTACCCATCAACCTTTTATTCCACCAATACATAATCTAACAAACTACTTTCATTATGTGCTTCATCATACCTTGTATATTTATTTATCCTCTTTTTCATAAAATATGTATTACCTATTACCAAATCTCTTTCCACACATAGCTCAATTAAAGGCTCCCCATTTACATTTACCCCTGGCACCCCAAATTTACCTACTACTCCCTCCATAACATTTTTACCCACTTTAGCATTGAAATCCCCAACCACTATTACTCTCACACTTGATTCAAAACTCCCCACGCATTCCCTCAACATTTCCCAAAATCTCTCTCTCTCCTCTACATTTCTCTCTTCTCCAGGTGCATACACGCTAACTATAACCCACTTTTCACATCCAATCTTTATTTTACTCCACATAATCCTTGAATTAATACATTTATAGTCCCTCTTTTCCTGCCCTAGCTTATCCTTCAACATTATTGCTACTCCTTTAGCTCTAACTCTATTTGAAACCCCTGACCTAATTTGTTCCTCTCCATTGAAACTCTCCCACCCCCTTCAGCTTTGTTTCACTTAAAGCCAGGACATCCAGCTTCTTCTCATTCATAACATCCACAATCATCTCTTTCTTATCATTTGCACAACATCCACGCACATTCAGACTTCCCACTTTGACAATTTTCTACTTCTTATTCTTTTTAGTAATCTTTACAGGAAAAGGGGTTACTAGCCCATTGTTCCCAGCATTTTGGTTGACTTTTACAACACGCATGGCTTACGGAGGAAAGATTCTTATTCCACTTCCCCATGGATATAAAAGGAAAAGTAATAAGACCAAGAACTATTAAGATAAAATCAAAGAAAACTCAGATGAGTGTGTATAAATAAATGTGTACATGCATGTGTAGTGTGTAGATCTAGCTCTCACCCAACCATTCTCACTCGTGCATCTGTCCAGACTGTTTAGTTTGTTAAACTTATCTACACTTATCCTGCCACAACAGAGCTTTCCTATGATCTAATTTGTATCCATTATTTCGAGCATTGGTCAGTAAGTGTATTGCAGTGCTCCTTAATTCTTATTAGATTAAAATACTACCTTTGTTTTTGCCTGGATCAAGCTGTACTCTTCACTGACTTTGATATAGGGGCTCCAGCACATAGCTCAATTGGTTTTACACTATTTTAGCTTTTCCTGTATAGTATTTGCTAGGTTGAACTTAGGAGACTGTTTCTTTTTGCACAGAGCATATACTAGAGGTATATTCTAGAGCTATACTCTAGTATATACAGTACATAAAAATGAACCATTTTTTTGTTTTAGGACTATGGTAAAGAAACCCAGGCTCATGATGTTGTCACTGAGTATTTCAAGAGCAAAGGACAGTGAAATTGTTTGTGTAAGTATTTTTGCATATAAATTCACTCAGGTTTAATTACATATGGTGATGAAATAATCTGCAGAAATCCCCATGTTGTTTAATTAAGCTGATTTAATGACTGAACTTTTGCTTATTGATTTTGTTTAAATGGACAGTATTTTGTCATTTTAATCTCAGTCTTGTTTCCTCAGGTATCCAGAGACAAAAACCCAAAAGTTGAACTAGTTCAATAGCATATCAGAGCTGCTTGATCCTGCTTTGCATTTTAATGGCTCCACATGTCAGCGCTGTATGACCCTTGTGGGTTTAGTGCTTAGTTTTAATTATAATAATAATAATAATAATGGTTCTACATTTTCATACTGAAGTAAAAAAAAATAATAAATAATAAATTTAAAATTATTTGTTTTCACTGCTGTTCACTTTGTGGTTCAAATTATCACTTATACAAGGGTACATGAACATGATACAGCTAATGCAAATATCATAAATGGAAGTCAGTATCCATTTCCTAAGTTAAAGGAATTAGTATAGAGTAGTGATTAGAAGGTAATGCAAATGCAGTAAACCATCCATACAACAGACCTTGATATAACAGACTAGAAATATGGAACAAAATCCGCTGGGTCAGTTGATTTACAAACGGTAGACGTCAGTTGCTTACAGAATTGTCAATTATTGTTAGAATTACAGCAAAACAGTCTCTGCTCTGTCTGCGATTGCCATTACTGGCCACCTACTTTCCCCAATTAATCCATTACATGCAAGATTTCAGGTACATCTTGCTGCTGCTTCTTACACTTAGGTCACACTACACATACACGTACAAGCATATATATACACACCCCTCTGAGTTTTCTTCCATTTTCTTTCTAGTTCTTGTTCTTGTTTATTTCCTCTTATCTCCGTGGGGAAGTGGAACAGAAGACTTCCTCCACAAACCATGTGTGTTGTAACAGGCGACTAAAATGCCGGGAGCAAGGAGCTAGTAACCCCTTCTGCTGCATCCCACCCTGCCTTGGTGGAATATGGCCAGTTTGTTGAAAAAAAAAAAATGGTTTCCTTTATTGTTTTATAGTATGAGTAATATTTTTCCTAGGCAGTAGGTTGGTAGACAGCAACCGCCCAGGGAGGTACTACCATCCTACCAAGTGAGTGTAAAACGAAAGCCTGTAATTGTTGCACATGATGGTAGGATTGCTGGTGTGTCTTTTTGTCTCGTAAACATGCAAGAGTTCAGGTGCATCTTGCTACTTCTACTTACGTCACACTACACATGCATGTACAAGCATGCATGCATATATATATAATATATAATATATATATATATATATATATATATATATATTTTTTTTTTTTTTTCAACAAGTCGGCCGTCTCCCACCGAGGCAGGGTGACCCAAAAAAGAAAGAAAATCCCCAAAAAGAAAATACTTTCATCATCATTCAACACTTTCACCACACTCGCACATTATCACTGCTTTTGCAGAGGTGCTCAGAATACAACAGTCTAGAAGCATACACATATAAAGATACACAACATATCCCTCCAAACTGCCAATATCCCAAACCCCTCCTTTAAAGTGCAGGCATTGTACTTCCCATTTCCAGGACTCAAGTCCGACTATATGAAAATATACCGGTTTCCCTGAATCCCTTCACTAAATATTACCCTGCTCACACTCCAACAGATCGTCAGGTCCCAAGTACCATTTGTCTCCATTCACTCCTATCTAACACGCTCACGCACGCTTGCTGGAAGTCCAAGCCCCTTGCCCACAAAACCTCCTTTATCCCCTCTCTCCAACCCTTTCAAGGACGACCCCTACCTCGCCTTCCTTCCCCTATAGATTTATATGCTTTCCATGTCATTCTACTTTGATCCATTCTCTCTAAATGACCAAACCACCTCAACCCCTCTTCTGCCCTCTGACTAATGCTTTTATTAACTCCAGACCTTTTCCTAATTTCCACACTCCAAATTTTTTGCATAATATTTACACGACACATTGCCCTTAGACAGAACATCTCCACTGCCTCCAACCATCTCCTCGCTGCTGCATTTTCCACCCAAGCTTCACAACCCATAAAGAGTGTTGGTACTTACTATACTTTCATACATTCCCTCTTTGCCTCCATAGATAACGTTTTTTGACTCCACATATACCTCAACGCACCACTCACTTTTTTTCCCTCATCAATTCTATGATTAACCTCATCCTTCATAAATCCATCCGCCGACACGCCAACTCCCAAGTATCTGAAAACATTCACTTCTTCCCTCTCCTCCTCCCCAATTTGATATCCAATTTTTCTTTATCTAAATCATTGACACCCCCATCACCTTACTCTTTTCTTGTTCACTTTCAACTTTCTACCCTTTTCACACATTCCAAACTCATCCACTAACCTTTGCAATTTTTTTTTAGAATCTCCCATAAGCACAGTATCATCACAAAAAGTAACTGTGTCAATTCCCATTTTTGAATTTGATTCCCCATAATTTAATACCACCCCCTCTCCCAAACACCCAGCATTTACTTCCTTAACAACCCCATCTATAATATATTAAACAACCATGGTGACATTAACACATCCCTGTCTAAGACCTACTTTTACCGGGAAATAGTCTCCCTCTCTTCTAAAACACCTAACCCGAGCCTCACTATCTTTATAAAAACTCTTTACAGCATTTAATAACTTTCCACCTATTCCATATACTGCAACATCCCGCCACTTGCTCCTCTATCCACTCTATCATATGCCTTTTCTAAATCCATAAATGCAATAAAAACTTCCTACCTTTATCTAAATACTGTTTACATATATGCTTCAATGTAAACACTTGATCTACACATCCCCTACCCACTCTGAAACCCTCCTTGCTCATCCGCAATCCTACATTCTGTCTTACCTCTAATTCTTTCAATTATAACCCTACCGTACACTTTTCCTGGTATACTCAGTAAGCTTATTCCTCCCATAATTTTTACAGCTCTTTTGTCCCTTTCCCCTTTTTAAAAAAGGGGGCTTACTGCCTCCCGCCAATCCTAGGTACCTTCCCTTTTCTACATTTTATTTAACAAAAAACCAACCACTCCAACACTATACCCCCCCTCTTTTAAAAATTTCTGTCATTCCCACAGTACCAGCTGCTTTTCCCCCTTTCATTTTACAATGCCCCACGTACCTCCCCCCCCTTAATTCTCTCTTCTTCACTCCCAAAAGAGGGATACCCCCTGCCAGTGCATGAAATTACTGCCTCTGTTTCTTCCTTAACATTTTAAAAGTTCCCAAAAATTTTGCCATCACCTAATACCTACCCCCATCTCCCTTTTAAATTAACTTATACAAAAAAATAATGATCCGATATATCAGTTCCCCCTCTATAAACATGTCATCCTGGAGCCTACCCATAAAACCTTTTATCCACCAATACATAATCTAATAAACTACTTTCATTACGTGCTACATCATACCTTGTATATTTATTTATCCTCTTTTTCATAAAATGTATTACTTATTACCAAATTTCTTTCTACACATAGCTCAATTAAAGGCTCCCCATTTACATTTACCCCTGGCACCCCAAATTTACCTACTACTCCCTCCATAACATTTTACCCACTTTAGCATTGAAATCCCCAACCACCATTACTCTCACACTGATTCAAAACTCCCCACGCATTCACTCAACATTTCCCAAAATCTCTCTCTCTCCTCTACACTTCTCTCTTCTCCAGGTGCATACACGCTTATTATAACCCACTTTTCACATCCAATCTTTATTTTACTCCACATAATCCTTGAATTAATACATTTATAGTCCCTCTTTTCCTGCCATAGCTTATCCTTCAACATTATTGCTACTCCTTCTTTAGCTCTAACTCTATTTGAAACCCCTGACCTAATCCCATTTATTCCTCTCCATTGAAACTCTCCCACCCCCTCAGCTTTGTTTCACTTAAAGCCAGGACATCCAGCTTCTTCTCATTCATAACATCCACAATCATCTCTTTCTTATCATCTGCACAACATCCACGCACATTCAGACTTCCCACTTTGACAATTTTCTTCTTCTTATTCTTTTTAGTAATCTTTACAGGAAAAGGGGTTACTAGCCCATTGTTCCCGGCATTTTAGTTGACTTTTACAACACGCATGGCTTACGGAGTATATATACACACACACACACCCCTCTGGGCTTTCTTCTATTTTCTTATTAGTTCTCGTTCTTGTTTATTTCCTCTTTTCTCCATGGGAAAGTGGAACAGAATTCTTCCTCTGTAAGCCATGTGTGTCATGAGAGGCGACTAAAGTCAAAAAGAGAAACTTTTGTTTTTCTTTTTGTGCCACCCTGCTTCAGTGGGATATGGCTGGTTTGCTAGAAGAAGAAGAATTTTCAATTTTGAGGAATTTGCAAGGTGGCATTGTTTCTTCCATCATTGCAAAGCTGTAGTGGCTGTCTAGCTCCCTGAAGTTTACTGAACTAGGTTTGGTCTCTGTGGTAGTAAAAGTCCTCTTCAAATCCTGGAGTGGCAGCTGAAGGTATAAGAAATGTTGCACCTACAGTATTATGGTTCTTGTACTTGTCTTGGACTGCTTGAAATGGTTACTTTGCCTGCACTTTAGACACTATTCCCAGGAGCTCTCCTAGGACAGGGAAGGTGCCAGAGCCAGAGCTTGCTAACACCTGCAGCTCACCACACTGCCATTCCCAAGAGCCTCCCATGGGTGGGGAAGGTGGCAGACCAGAGAACTACCTTTTCCCTACAAGCCCCGTGAGGGTGAGGAATGTGGCTAGGCCTGGGGATAGCTGGTTCCAGAAGAGGAGGTACTTTTACCTCCTCCCATGACAGATTTAGGTTCCAGTCCCTCCCAAGCCAGGGAACCAAGGCTGGGTCACCATCTTGAAAAGACTTGGGCCAGATGAGTACCGGCAAATCAAGGAGAAGCAGCATCCTGCCATTTTTTTTTAATGGTCCCATCTTTGCAGACTGATTTCTTAACTGATACCTGTTTAGCTACATAACCTCTTACTACTCCCTTCATCTCAATATTTCTTTCACCTCTGTAAAGCAGCACTGAATAAGTCTAATGGATTTAGCACTTTTTATGAATATAACAATTTCCTACCCAGATCTTGTCCTTGATGTTGCCAGAAAAGAAATAGGGTATCTTCTTATGTCTCTACCTTATCCAAGGGTTTCATTTGTGACTAAATTCAAGCAAGTACTAGTCTAGTTGTGGTTGCAGGGGTCGAGTCACAGCCCCTGGCCCTACCTCTTCACTGGCCACTACTGGGTTACTACCCCTCAAGGAAGGTTCCTTGATGTTGGTGAGGGGCTCTTGATTTAGGGAATTGGATTTGTGCTCCAGTTCCCCAAATTAAGCCTGAATGCCTTCCACATCCCCCCCAGGCACTCTATAATCCTCTGGGTTTAGCGCTTCCCCCTTGATTATAATAATAATAATAATAATAATACTGGGTTACTCTTCCTGCTCCATGAACTTTATCATACCTCTTCTTAAAGCTGTGTATGGATCCTGCCTCCACTACGTCACTTTCCAAACTATTCCACTTCCTGACTACTCTGTGACTGAAGAAATACTTCCTAACATCCCTGTGATTCATCGGTGTCTTCAACTTCCAACTGTGACCCCTTGTTGCTGTGTCCCATCTCTGGAACATTGTCTCTTGTCTACCTTGTCGATTCCTCTCGGTATTTTATATGTCGCTATCATGTCCCCCCTTTCTCTCCTGTCCTCCAGTGTCGTCAGGTTGATTTCTCTTAACCTCTCCTTGTGGGACATACCCCTTAGCTCCGGGACTAGTCTTTTTACAAACCTTTGCACTTTCTCTAGTTTCCTTACGTGCTTGGCTAGGTGTGGGTTCCAAACCGGTGCCTGCATACTCCAAAATGGGCCTAACATACACAGTGTACAGGGTCCTGAACTATTCCTTATTAAGGTCGGAATGCTGTTCTTAGGTTTGTTAGACGCCCGTATGCTGCAGCAGTTATTTGGGTGACCTGCGCCTCAGGACATGTGCCCGGTGTTATACACACCCCAATTATTATTATTATTATAATCAAGGGGAAGCGCTAAACCCGGAGGATTATACAGCGCCTGGGGGATGATGTGGAAGGCATTCAGGCTTAATTCGGGGAACTGGAGCACAGATCCAATTCCCTAAATCAAGAGCCCCTCACCAACATCAAGGAACCTTCCTTTAGGGGATACACACCCCAAGATCTTTTTCCTTGAATGAGGTTTTTAGTCTCTGGCCCCCTAGACTGTAGTCCATCTGCAGTCTTCTTTGCCCTTCCCCAGTCTTCATGACTTTGCACTTGGTGGGGTTGAACTCCACGAGTTTTGCCTGGTTCTCATCAAATTGGATTCTTATCATCTTCACATCATCTGCAAACAGGGACACTTTGGAGTCTATCCCTTCTGTCATGTCATTCACAAATACCAGAAACTGCCTTGATACTGGTGAGGGCTCTTGACTCAAGAAATGAGAGCTATCCTCCCCTTACTCTGATCAAACCTAGTTGGCCAACATTTCCCAGGGTCTAGTGTTTCTCCATGAAAGATAGCATTTCAGTGAATGATAATACTACAATCATAACACTAATAATATAATAATATTTATTTCTACATGTACATGATACAACTTACACAGACCTAGATGACATCAGTGACATACTACTATATAGAAAGCCCTGGTTATGCACCTTAGGTTAATTTTGTCTCCAGGATGCGACACACCAGTTGGCCTAACACCCAGGTACCTATTTACTAAATAACAAAAAAGGCACAGTACCGTGACTGGAACGAAACAAATAACCCGCACACACAAGAGGAGCTCACGACGACGTTTCGGTCCAACTTGGATCGAAACGTCGTCGTGAGCTCCTCTCTTCTGTGTGCGGGTTATTTGTGTACCTATTTACTGTTAGGTGAATAAGAACAGCAGATGTCTTAAGGAAACACCCAGTGTTCTCACCCTTACCGGGGATCGAACCACGGACACTTGCATTAAAAAATATATAATAATTTTTTGATTGACTTTAGTCTGTTTGTGTGGGAGTCTTCTCTGCTAAAATTTTCTCGCAGTGTTAAGCCCTATTAAAGGCCCTTTATTCCTTGAAATTCCATGAGCATCGTCAAGAAAAGCTAAAGCAGCTGGGCTTTATGAACTTTCACATGCTTCAATATGTACCGTAGCACAATGTGTCCCGTAGCTGGATTACTAGCGCACTCAGGTCCGGAGTTCGAATCGCGATACGGTTGAAAAACATTAGGGACGTGTTTTTATGAGACAGACACCTGCTGTCCCTGTTCACCCATCAGTAAAATGGGTACCTGGATGTTAGTCGACTGGTGTGGGTTACATCCTAGGACAAAACTGACCTAATTTGCCCGAAATGCTCTGCATAACAAGGGGCTGTCTTTATAGTAGTATGTCATTGATGTCAGCTAGGCCTGTATACCTTGTACATGTACTTGTAGAAATAGATATATTATTATTAGTAATAGTATTATGTTCAATCTTCGGTGCACTACTTGCTGCTGCCTTTTCAGTCTGGATCTGGAGGAATTTTACCCTTCAGTGGATGAGAAGTGTAATTGAATATTAGCCCATATCTCCTACACCTTGTTCATGTGTATGGTTGACAAGAGACTTGCCTGTACTCTTATTGACATTGTGTAAAGAAGACAAATGGGCTTCTGCGCCATCCTTCTTCGAATGTGGACATCTTGCTCTCGCTTGAGCATCAGTGGCATATTTCCCCCATTCTCTATGGGACGCTTGTCCTTTATTTTGCCTACCAGGCACATTACAGGATGGGCACCGGTAATTTAGCCAGCCCCATTTTTCCACTCCGCGGATAATTCTTGAACGATTTTGTTGGGAAGCCGGTTACTGAACTTGTGGCGTTGTGGGCGTCCCACTCTGCTGGTGCTTGGCCAGGTGGTCCACCTGATCTAATCGCGAACTTTTAGTTCCTGTTGCTATTTACGTAGGAGCTCTCGTTCCTTTTTCTTTCATAGCCCAGTTTTGGGCAACAAATCTTCCCCGAACGTCGGGAAGTCGGGCTTGATACAGCGTAGCTGTTAGTGGCCCTGATAAACCCAACAATAACAACAAAAAGAAGACAGACAGACTTAAAAATGTTGCCAGGATTATGTCTGGGAAGAACTGTAAGGCACTTGAGGGTCCTGGGGAGGGCATGGAAGAGGTGGCAGCCCAGGCTGGAAGGTGACAGCAGTGCGTGTGCAACACTGCCCTTTACGATGCCCAAGAGATACCTCGTCACCTCCTTCGACCGTGAGTATCCTAAATTCAGTTTTCTTATAACTGAAAACTGATATTTGATTCAATTCAATTCAGTTCAAGTTTCTCTATAAGGGTTACAATGTGGGGTTTACAGGTTTTGGGTATTGTGTGGTTTACATGTTATAAAATACTAATTACAGAGGGGGTCACTAGGACACCTAGCCTGGCTAGGCATTTCGAGCAGACTTAGATTAATTCTTAACATTAAATCCTTTCAGATTATGGTATTTAGGCTAAGTGATTGGTGTCATTGGGTACGGGAGTAAATTCTTGGGTAGCTTAGGGTAGAGGTTTTGACAAGGACCTGCCTTGTATGGGCCAGTAGCCCTTATGCAGTGTTCCTCCATTCTTATGTTCTTATATAAAGGGGCTTTTGGCATGTTCACCCAGTTGTTACACTTCTTCGTACCAACATGTATCGTGCTAAAAGAAAATTATTGTTAAGTAAAAGGACACAAGTGCAACTAATGTGACATTTTATTGTGGCAACGTTTTGCTCTCCAGGAGCTTTATCAAGCTCCTGGAGAGCGAAACGTTGCCACAATAAAATGTCACATTAGTTGCACTTGTGTCCTTTTACTTTACATATTGTCGGTAATTCTACCAACTTTATTACAAAATTATTGTTTTATTATTATTATTATTATTATTATTATTATTATATTATTATTATTATTATTATTATTATTATTATTATTATTATTAATAGGCATTTTGCAGTGCCTGTGAAGTGCTCTTAATTCAAGACACTGTTACTAATGCCCTGTGAAAGTTAAAACACATGTGCAACATCTGGATATCTTTATTGTAGACGTTTCGCCATCCAGTGCCTTTATCAATACAGATTATACCTTTCTTGCACAACTTGTCAGACACTGCAACATCATGGAATCTTGGTTCAGAGGACATCTACAAGACCTTCTTCATGGCTGCTGCAACTAACCTATCTCTTTGGGAAGGACCTACTTCCACTGGGGAATCCCGCCTACCAGTGACTATGCCCTCGTCTGCTGCCCGTCCCTATCCACTGACGCCTATATAACTGCCAGTCTTCTTGCCTTTGCTCCAGATTCTCCTCCACCACGATGCTGTGAACACTAACTCCAAGGCCGAGGGACTGATTACCTCATCTTTTGTATATAGTTCTACTGTCTTCCTATTATGTCCTAGACTCTGTATTGATAAAGCCACTGGATGGCAAAACGTCTACAATAAAGATATCCAGATGTTGCACATGTGTCTTAACTTTCATATTGTCGGTATTTTATACCTTTCTTGTACAACTTGTCAGATACTAATGCCCTGAAATGCCTCAGCATAGTGGATTTCTTTGTTCTAATCAAATTATGAAATGTAAACACATTGTAACTTTAGAAAAGAAATAAGATTTTATTATTTTATTATTATACCCTCCCCTTCCTCGGATCAAACCTGATTATATTCTATTCCCTAGGCACTGCATAACCCCTATAGGTTAAGGGCCTTCCCATGACTATAATGCCACAGCTTTGTAATAAATCTTAGCCTGTAAAAGGCTGAGGATATTGGATCATCAGTATCATCAATGTTGCACCTAATTTTTTTTCAGTTCGCTTATTTGCATCTAAATATACATTTTTGTGTGAACCAACTTACCCTAGTTGCTTTCTGGCTGCTATATTATTAGCCTTTATGAAATGTTACGTGGCTACCAGTCAAAAGTCTGCTGCCATCAGAAATTTTACAGTATATTGAGCTGGCTGTTTGGGAGGGCAGTATGTCAGTGGGCTGATGACCTGGGAGCTCTTTAGAAATGGTACAGCAAATAGCTGTAGTACTGGTTGATGTGTAATAAGTTCAGGCAGTTACAGGAATTTCAGAAAATCACTTGTTCTGAATTATATACAGTGGTACCTTGACTTACGAGTTTAATTCATTCTGTGACAGAACTCATAACTCAATTTGTTCATATATCAAATCAATTTTCCTCATTGAAATTAAATGAAATGCCATTAATCCATTCCAGCCCCCCAAAAAACCACCCCAATTTTTTTGTTACAGGTTTTTAAATAAGAAAAATGTATTTTTTATTTTTTTTTATTATCACACTGGCCGATTCCCACCAAGGCAGGGTGGCCCGAAAAAGAAAAACTTTCACCATCATTCACTCCATCACTGTCTTGCCAGAAGGGTGCTTTACACTAGTTTAAACTGCAACATTAACACCCCTCCTTCAGAGTGCAGGCACTGTACTTCCCATCTCCAGGACTCAAGTCCGGCCTGCCAGTTTCCCTGAACCCCTTCATAGATGTTACTTTGCTCACACTCCAACAGCACGTCAAGTATTAAAAACCATTTGTCTCCATTCACTCCTATCAAACACGCTCACGCATGCCTGCTGGAAGTCCAAGCCCTTCGCACACAAAACCTCCTTTACCCCCTCCAACCTTTCCTAGGCCGACCCCTACCCCGCCTTCCTTTCACTACAGACTGATACACTCTTGAAGTCATTCTGTTTCGCTCCATTCTCTCTACATGTCCGAACCACCTCAACAACCCTTCCTCAGCCCTGTGGACAACAGTTTTGGTAATCCCGCACCTCCTCCTAACTTCCAAACTACGAATTCTCTGCATTATATTCACACCACACATTGCTCTCAGACATGACATCTCCACTGCCTCCAGCCTTCTCCTCGCTGCAACATTCATCACCCATGCTTCAGACCCATATAAGAGCGTTGGTAAAACTATACTCTCATACATTCCCCTCTTTGCCTCCAAGGACAAAGTTCTTTGTCTCCACAGACTCCTAAGTGCACCACTCACTCTTTTTCCCTCATCAATTCTATGATTCACCTCATCTTTCATAGACCCATCCGCTGACACGTCCACTCCCAAATATCTGAATACATTCACCTCCTCCATACTCTCTCCCTCCAATCTGATATCCAATCTTTCATCACCTAATCTTTTTGTTATCCTCATAACCTTACTCTTTCCTGTATTCACCTTTAATTTTCTTCTTTTGCACACCCTACCAAATTCATCCACCAATCTCTGCAACTTCTCTTCAGAATCTCCCAAGAGCACAGTGTCATCAGCAAAGAGCAGCTGTGACAACTCCCACTTTGTGTGTGATTCTTTATCTTTTAACTCCACGCCTCTTGCCAAGACCCTCGCATTTACTTCTCTTACAACCCCATCTATAAATATATTAAACAACCACGGTGACATCACACATCCTTGTCTAAGGCTTACTTTTACTGGGAAATAATTTCCCTCTTTCCTACATACTCTAACTTGAGCCTCACTATCCTCGTAAAAACTCTTCACTGCTTTCAGTAACCTACCTCCTACACCATACACTTGCAACATCTGCCACATTGCCCTCCTATCCACCCTGTCATACGCCTTTTCCAAATCCATAAATGCCACAAATACCTCTTTAGCCTTATCTAAATACTGTTCACTTATATGTTTCACTGTAAACACCTGGTCCACACACCCCCTACCTTTCCTAAAGCCTCCTTGTTCATCTGCTATCCTATTCTCCGTCTTACTCTTAATTCTTTCAATAATAACTCTACCATACACTTTACCAGGTATACTCAGCAGACTTATCCCCTATAATTTTTGCACTCTCTTTTATCCCTTTGCCTTTATACAAAGGAACTATGCATGCTCTCTGCCAATCCCTAGGTACCTTACCCTCTTCCATACATTTATTAAATAATTGCACCAACCACTCCAAAACTATATCCCCACCTGCTTTTAACATTTCTATCTTTATCCCTCAATCCCGGCTGCCTTACCCCCTTTCATTTTACCTACTGCCTCACGAACTTCCCCCACACTCACAACTGGCTCTTCCTCACTCCTACAAGATGTTATTCCTCCTTGTCCTATACACGAAATCACAGCTTCCCTATCTTCTTCAACATTTAACAATTCCTCAAAATATTCCCTCCATCTTCCCAATACCTCTAACTCTCCATTTAATAACTCTCCTCTCCTATTTTTAACTGACAAATCCATTTGTTCTCTAGGCTTTCTTAACTTGTTAATCTCACTCCAAAACTTTTTCTTATTTTCAACAAAATTTGTTGAAAAACATCTCACCCACTCTCATTTGCTCTCTTTTTACATTGCTTCACCACTCTCTTAACCTCTCTCTTTTTCTCCATATACTCTTCCCTCCTTGCATCACTTCTACTTTGTAAAAACTTCTCATTATGCAAAACTTTTTCTCCCTTACTACTCTCTTTACATCATCATTCCACCAATCGCTCCTCTTCCCTCCCGCACCCACTTTCCTGTAACCACAAACTTCTGCTGAACACTCTAACACTACATTTTTAAACCTACCCCATACCTCTTTGACCCCATTGCCTATGCTCTCATTAGCCCATCTATCCTCCAATAGCTGTTTATATCTTACCCTAACTGCCTCCTCTTTTAGTTTATAAACCTTCACCTCTCTCTTCCCTGTTGCTTCTATTCTCCTTGTATCCCATCTACCTTTTACTCTCAGTGTAGCTACAACTAGAAAGTGATCTGATATATCTGTGGCCCCTCTATAAACATGTACATCCTGAAGTTTACTCAAAAATGTATTTATAAATAAGAAATTATTTTTGCCTTTTTTCCAAGGTTCCAGCAATGGTTTAGAAATGCTGGAGTATATATGAAACTCCTTGAAGCACGGTGTAGGATAAGTGTTATTCCACTGCCAGTGGAGCGACACTCGTAGAGTGACTTTTGATGATCATGCACTGCCTTGGCTTTATTTTTCACTGTTACACATTATCATGTCTATCTGTTTGTTTCTATCTGTTTTTATCTGTCTGTCTGTTTAGCTCTATGTTTATTTCTGTCTCTGCTTATTTGTCTTTCTGTCTGCCTGCATTTCTGTCTTCCTATATCTCTACTTGTCTCTCTGTCTTGGAGATAGAGGTGCTCATGAACCAACTGGTATTACACACGATGCAGAGTTGTCACGTCTGATTCCTGAACAAGTGAAAATGTATGTTACTTTCCAGTTATGCTTATTATGCCCTATATCTACAAGCATAGTATAGCACTTTGTCTGGATTTTTTGGGTTATCCTAGGTAATTTACATAATGTATAACTGGCTGGCCAGCCAGCCAGCCAACTGGCCACCAAACCAGCTGGCCTGCCGAACGTGTATTACATGTGTTCCAGAATTGTTTCTCTTAACATAGGGCATACATTATAGAATATTCTGGCAGGATGACACTACCAGTGATATCAAAATTGAAAGGATGTTGCACATTGGTTATTATCAGTTATCCTCTCTCCTGCGAGTGGCAGCATATCTGAAGCCCACTCATAACTCAGATTTTGGCACGCAACTCAAAGCAAAAACTTGACCGAGCGACAGCTCATAACTTGAAAACTTTGAAAAGTTGGGGCACTCATAAGTCAAGGTACCATTGTATTTATTTTTACAAACAAACTGGTTACTATCAGTCTTTTGTATTAATAGCCTTGAACTGTTTGGTATATGGGTGCCAATCAGCCAATTTCCAGCCCAGTAGACTCAAATTACTTTAAGTTTATTTAGGTACAGGTACACATACGTACAGTTCTCATACATAGTTTAACATGTGTAAATTGCCTAGGATAACTCCAGAAAGTCAGACAAAGTGAGTTATTTTTATAGGGGTCCTTAATTTATTAGGCATAATATACTAGAGAAATATGATGCATTATTATGTGATAATTTTGTTTTTTGGACAACCTTGCAAGTCAGTACATACTTTGTTGATTTTTATATTAATTAATGACTTTGACAGTCTTGTTAATATTGAGCAGGTTAGGTTAGGTTATTATGTAAGCAAGAAAATTAGTCAAAAGTACTTTTTGTAAGTAAAGTATGACAATACTTTTAAGGGCTCTATTAATTCCACATATTTGTCTCCAGCTTCCCATGGTCTCACAGATGAACAAATAGCTATCCAGAAGCTTGCAATAAATTTTGCTAGAAATGAAATGCTACCTAATATGGCAATATGGGATGAAAAGGTAAGGAAATTCTATATTGTAAATGACACTTTTTATTTAGCCCTCTTTGTCACTTATATATTGTAATGTAAAATTTCTAAAATCCACAACCATGACTTTTCTTAACCTTTGATTAGACTTTTGACTGTATGAAAGAATAAAATAATTTAATTGTAATAAAACTGAAATAAAAGGCCACAGTATATCTCTTAAAGACCTCTACTGTTATCTATAACATTTCTTTTATAGTCATATTACTATGTATATAAAATTATAAAAGGCTACAAAAAATTGATATGAAAGATTTGTCATCACCTTGATGCCAGTGATGGACTCCTGATCCATGGAAGTGGATGTATCCTCTCCTTCCTCTTTCAGGTTTTGCATATACACATGCAATTTGATTATATTAGCCCTTCCTTCTATTCCTCTGGTGCTGTGTCCCCCTTATAGGCTTGGCACTTCTTGTAATCAACAGGGAGAAGAAGAGATCACAGTTATAAATTAGGGAAGAGGTGCAAAAGGATACTAAAAAGTTTGGGAAGTTTGAAATAATGACTTTAAGTTGATAAAGGGTAATAGGTACACTTACTGCAAAGAATCATATAATTATACAAGATGAAGAGTAAAAAGACACCATACTGTAGCTGGAACAACATATAACCTGCACATGGAAGACTAAAACTCATGATGACGCTTCAGTGCCACCTCAACCATCAACCCTTTGTGTGGTTGGTTGATAGTCCAAGTCGGACCAAAGTGTTGTCATGAGTTTCGGTCTCCTACATGTAGATTGCATTTTATACAAGATTTCATACACATGGGGGTTTATTAAATACAGTACTTGATAATGCTCCTAGTGGGGGTATATTTGTATGAACAAAAAGTTCTTTAAGTGTCTGTCTACTACCTGTTGATGTTGCCTGGGGGAGTCATACTTACAATGCTTCACATTTACTCAGATTTTTCAGTCCAAATAATTCTCCACATATGGTATAACGCCACAGTTCTACCGCCAGGGCACATGGAAACATAAAATTACCTAAAATCTCTTGCAAACCAGCCTAAATAACCTCTTAAGACCAAAAGAAACAAGTACAGTGGAACCTCAGTTTTCATATGCCCTAGTTATTCTCTATAAAATGTATTTTTTGTTAATATTTTTGGGTGTCCGGAATGGATTAATTAGATTTACATTATTTCTTATGGGACATATTGCTTCAGTTTTTGTACAATTTGGTTTATTGTCAGACTTTTTCAAACGGATTAATCACAAAAACCGAGGTTCCACTGTATATTTATCTCTGCAAACAGATAAAATCAAAACAAACATTTCCATTGTTTCACTGCCAGATTAAAAATATCACAGCTCTCCAATTCAAACAACCTGACAGGAGACAGAGGTAGGGGAACTGGATCAAAGTTTAGCCAAAAAACTTACATGTCTCCAACACCACCAAGGGTTTAAAAAGACCAGCAGTGCTGGACAGTTCAAAATAATCTCCCTACATTAGGGGATTTGACCAAACAAATTAACTTCTGTGCATTAGAGAGTTTTTCATAAAGTGATAGCAATGAAATTGATAACAAAAGGTAGCAAATATTATAATCAGGTAATTAAAAAAATATTTTTTGAATTAAATGCTAAAAATGGGACCCTACAAGCATAACTATGCTCCTGTAGATACAGTAAACTTATCACACTTAGTAATGGCAGCAATTTTGTCGTTTTTGCATTTGTGTTACAGTAATATCCTGGTATTCTAAATTTTACATTGCCATTTACTTATTTACTGTATTATAGGTTTGTTTTTTCATTCATACAGGAATTGTTTCCAGTAGACACAATGCGAGCTGCTGCTGCTCTTGGTTTTGGAGCCGTATATGCTAGCGAAGAGTTTGGGGGTACAGGACTGAGCCGCCTGGATGCATCTATCATATTCGAAGCTCTCTCACAAGGGTGTACTTCCACCACAGCTTATATTAGTATTCACAAGTAGGTAAAAAATCCAATGATTTGAGTTACTGTTGTATGATGATCTCTTTTTGAATAAGTGAAAGAATTTTAGTGGAATGGTTTTACATACAGTATTATTAATTGAATGTAGAATGTAAATGTAACAAGCAACACAATTTCGAAAAAGTAAATATGAATAAATCAGCTGGATCTTGATTTTTGTGCCTCTTCAAGGGTGAGTTCTTGCCATGTTGATAAGCTATTTTATCATTGTTATATTCAGGTGGAAGCTATAAACCTATATTGACCATACATCACCTGGGAAAAGGGAGGGATAGGGGTGATCAGGCTTGAGTAAGAGCAGGGTAGCTCAAATTCTTTGCATTAAGTCATTTCCCTAGGAAGTTCTATGATATTTAAAATGAAACAGTCATGTTTTTGCACCACTAATTTACTTGTGAGTGAGGGAGCATAGGAGCCATACACACTTTTTTTTTTTTTCTTATCACTTGGTAGCACTTCTAAATTTTTTTTTTTTTAACAAGTCGGCCGTCACCCACCGAGGCAGGGTGACCCAAAAAGAAAGAAAATCCCCCAAAAGAAAATACTTTCATCATCATTCAACACTTTCACCTCACTCACACATAATCACTGTTTTTGCAGAGGTACTACTCAGAATACAACAGTTTAGAAGCATATACTGTACGTATAAAGATGCACAACATATCCCTCCAAACTGTCAATATTCCAAACTCTTCCTTTAAAGTGCAGGCATTGTACTTCTCATCTCCAGGACTCAGGTCCGGCTATATAAAAATAACCAGTTTTCCTGAATCCCTTCACTAAATATTATCCTGCTCACACTCCAACAGCTTGTCATGTCCCAAATACCATTCATCTCCATTCACTCCTATCGAACACGCTCACACACACTTGCTGGAAGTCCAAGCCCCTCGCCCACAAAACCTCCTTTACCCCCTCCCTCCAACCTTTTTGAGGACGACCCCTACCCCGCCTTCCTTCCCCTACAGTTTTATACGCTCTCCATTTCATTCTACTTTGATCCATTCTTTCTAAATAACCATACCACCTCAACAACCCCTCTTCAGCCCTCTGACTAATATACTTTTATTAACTCCACACCTCCTAATTTCCACATTCCAAATTTTCTGCATTTTCTAAGTGTACAGAATAAATGAGATGACTAATATTTTCAGCATGTGTGCTTGGATGATTGATAAATTTGGAAATAAATCTCAGCGAGAACAGTGGATACCTCAGTTAGCTTCAATGGAAAAATTTGCTTCCTACTGTCTAACAGAACCTGGTGCAGGCTCAGATGCTGGCTCCCTCTCAACAACTGCAAAAAAAGTTGGAGAAGAGCTCATTCTTAATGGTTCCAAGGTGAGGCACTCACAATAACTTATTGGATTCAGGCATTGTATTGTATTTCAAGAAGTGCTAACTTGAGTGGATCATTCAGTACAGTGTGTGTATAGGGGGGGAGGGGGTGTTTGTTGTATCTTAATACACTTTGTGTGCTGTCTTAAACTTAACTGTTTCGGTGGCAGTTACGTAGAACTATGTCACTGAGGCCAGGGGTCCCTCATGTAGTTCTACGTCATAAGCTTAGCTTACGCAGATAAGCTGTGAGCAGTAAATTTTGGCCTAGATATGAGAGAATGGAACTGTTGTGATTGTGAATGGTATAAAAAATAATCCTTCCCCACATGGTGCATGATGGGAAAAGCAAAACTCTGACCATGTGTGTGTGTGTGTGTGTTGCTAACAGTAGTGACTTTGAGGGTTTTCTCAGATGATTTTTTATGGTTTTATTGGCTGTATTTTTTGGTATTTGATATACTGGAAGACATAATAATGAAATAAGAGATGATTTTAGTTTATTTCAGGATCAGAAGTAGCTTGAAATTGAGCTCAAAGTAGAGGTAATATTAAATTTTTTCCAATTTTCCTGAGGACAGGTAAAGCCCTCCTACTCCACCCCCACAGTCTGTTTTATGGGTTTTAATAGGTCTGATTAAATTATTGGGACACCATAAACCATGACCAATAATTTCTGGTTGTATTTTATTATCCGATAAATAAAGAAAATCTTTTATTTTAGTGTGAGTGTGAACTCAAATGGAAGGCAAATGTAATATAGAAGAGGCTTGGGATGTGATTAATGAACAGAAGAAATGCTGTTTTAGTGCTAGGAATGTCTACATTGTTAATTTTTTTAATTTTATGTAAAATTAACCGAATTACAGACTTCTGTGCACTTTATAGCATAGTTGAATGGGTGATTTCTTGTGCACAATGAACAGAATGGATGGCATATTAACAAACTGACTAAGAATTTGGTCAATTGGAGCAATGAAATTAATATAGGACTCAAAGTTGGTGAAAGCACCGATGCATAAACTGTGCCTAGAATGATAACTTTGTGCATGCGTAAATCCATATGTTTCCCATCAGATTTCATACTTTTGGTGTCGTTTTTTTTTTTTTTTATTAACAAGTCGGCCGTCTCCCACCGAGGCAGGGTGACCCAAAAAAGAAAGAAAATCCCCAAAAAGAAAATACTTCCATCATCATTCAACACTTTCACCACACTCGCACATTATCACTGTTTTCGCAGAGGTGCTCAGAATACAACAGTTTAGAAGCATATACGTATAAAGATATGGAGGTAACTATCGTTACCTCCATAAAAGGATTCTCTACCATTTCAGGAGGAAACTTTTTTTTTTTTTAATGGATACTGAGAGCAATATTAATTTTGGGAGTCTGGACAGTGAAAGGGTTAATAAAGCTCTGTTAGACACAAATATATTATGTTATTAGGGTTGTGAATTTAAAATTAATTGCTTATTAAATTTAGGCATTTAGCAGCCATCATGCAAATGAATCCCTGATATGTATAATTAACTTTAATAGCTTCTTGTTGTTATTAGTAACTATGCAACCACCTAATTTACATTGCTAATGAATATTGATACTTTTCCTTGACAGGCCTTCATTAGTGGTGGAGGAGATACAGATGTTTACCTAGTGATGTGTCGGACTGGAAGTGAAGGGCCCAAAGGAATTTCTTGTGTGCTTGTGGAAAAAGGAACTCCAGGTAAAGCTCTCTTGCATATATATGTATTGCTTTGGTGAAATTCGGTGAAATGTTCTTTGTGTTCATCATTATCACCATCATTATCAGTTATCACTACCCTGTTTCTCACTTCAACAATGGTTTTGTCAAGTCATTACATCTTTTGTCAATCTGTAACGGCTTGACAAAGCCGTTGTCACATTAGTTACACTTGTGCCCTTTTACCTCGCATATTATTATTATTATTGCTATATTTAGGGGAGTACTAAACCCATGGGGATTATACATTGCTTGAACAACTTGTCAGTAAGAAATCAGAAAGTGAGTATGCATTATAGATGGCATCATCAGAAAGGAGGGTGGACGTAATAAGTACTGTACTGTATGTTAAGGCCTTAAAGTCACCTGAAGTGAGGTTGATATGCTCTCTAATGAGCTAGCTAATTGATCAGGAGATGTTGGACTGTCAGTATCGTAGGGGTTCTTAAATGGAGATATCGAGGGTTGAAGGTAGACACACTGGTTGGATGGTAACAATATATTGTCAGACTGTGATGATGGGAGAGGGAGCCCAGCCTTGCCTTGTCCTAGCCTGGATGTCTAACGCCGGCTGAGGCCGAGGCAGAGGTACGAACGTACACATGCACATCCCGTGACGTCACACAAAGTCACAGGCCTAGGGATCTCCTATCTAAAGCTCATGGATGATACTGATATGCTATACAACACAGGGATCAGCAACTATGCTGACATCAGGACACCCTGACAATCCTTACATGAATGTAATTTGTGCCTGTCTGTTTACTACATACTAACGATTGCATACTAAATATGTGAAAAGCATTGAAACATATTTCATTTGCACAGTATATAATTTTATTTTTTGCTCTTAAGTGTTGGAATTCCTGTTGTAATCATAGTATAGTATAATGCCAGGATAATGACTTACTTGAGTGATAATATATGGTAAATTTGATTTTTACAGGCCTCAACTTTGGCACAAAGGAAAAAAAAATTGGCTGGAATTCACAGCCAACTCGAATGGTAATTTTTGAAGATTGTCGTGTACCAGTTATAAATATTATTGGGGATGAAGGTCAAGGCTTCAACATAGCAATGAAAGGGTTGAATGGTGGCCGCATCAATATTGGTAAGGAGGTCAGGTGTATGATTTTTATTGGAGGATGATGAGTTTGAAAATTTGTTTCCAATGAAACTAACACTTAAATAATAAATAGATCCAAAAGATAAGAATAAATGTAATGCTAGCATCGATTTTTGAATTGTACTAAAGTTTGTTTTACCATAGTTTTCTTTACACCTGTAGCAAGGTTTAAATTCTTTGCTTGAAATATTAGTACGTATATAAATGACTAATTTTCCATTTATAACAAGCTATTTACTTTTTTTTTTTACACATGCCTACATTTGCCATTCTTAACGGTATAGTAAGACAGTATGATAAATGTAGGTTTTATCACACTTTGACTACAATAATGTTTTCATAAGCACTAATAAACAGCAAGTAATGTGACTTAATTGATTACACAGGTCCAGACCCAGACTAGTTCACATTCATGCAAGTTTTCATTTAGCTTTTGTATGACTACCACTGGAGATGCAACATGATCCATGCATAGACTTCTGCAACTCTCCAGTATCTGGTAACTGTGAACCAGCCAGACATGACAGGAGACAGTAGGCGACCTTGTGACTACAGCATTAGGGACCAGCACATTTCGATACACGTGAGTGAAACCTAACCAGCTGTCTGCAGTATTAAGGAACTAGTCAGGCTATGTAATAATGGTTTTGAATTAGTGTCACAAATGCCTTAGTCATAAAGCAGGTTTCAAAAATCAAACTTCAGAATTTGTTCTTTTATCGTTTACCCTTTTAACATTAAACACCTGTTTAATGTTTTTTTTTTTTTTAATACTTGGATTTTGTGGATATTATTGACATTGTTACTCTCTGTCCCACAAAATTTTTGGAATGTCATTTGCAACAGACCCTTCTGCACATACTTTTGACCTTAGGGAATAAGTGTAGAGAGATTGGTATAGATCTGCTTATTTGTTTTTGATCCATTGTTCCAAAATTTTGATCCCTATTCTCCTATATTATCATCATTATATTCACAAAAGAATGCAGTACCCGCACAGGTCATTCAAGTTGACCCTTCCCCAATTTTTTTTTTTTTAGCACAGCCTTATTACTAGAAACTTTTGATGTAGCATTTGTAACATCACATTTATAATTATGACCAGATTAATAGTACAGTGCAGTGCCTAAACTAAGATTAATTTTAAATTTTTGAGACATGAGTAAGCAGAGTTCTACTAGGATTGATGAAATCTTTGAAGATAAACTGTACTTACACTGTACTTCCCACTTCTAACCAGTTTCCCTGAGTACCTTCACAAAATGTTACCTTGCTAACACTCCAATAACTCATCAAGTTCCAAAAACCAATTGCCTCCACTCCTTCCTATCAAACATGCTCACACATACCTAGGATAACCAAGTTTAATCAAACAATGTGACTTATTTCCATGTTGTAAGGAGTATTACACCTTGAAATAACTAATACTGTAAATATTCCTAGTACAGTACAGAGTAGTACAAAAAATAGAGAATCAATTATTTCACTAGTATAAATGTATATTCCAAGTGGAACAATATTGGGCTAAGTATTTCCCCACATGTGAAGTGATAAAATATCTTTAAATACATCTGATATCATAAAAAAAAGTGTACATTTTGTTAAACATTAAAACCCATGAAGAACTGAATCTTTCTTTCTTTCAACAAACCGGCCGTATTCCACCAAGGCAGGGTGGCCCAAAAAGAAAAACGAAAGTTTCTCTTTTAAATTTAGTAATTTATACGGGAGAAGGGGTTACTAGCCCTTTGCTCCCGGCATTTTAGTCGCCTCTTACAACACGCATGGCTTACGGAGGAAGAATTCTTTTCCACTTCCCCATGGAGATAAGTGGAAATAAACAAGAACAAGAACTAGAAAGAAAACAGAAGAATACCCAGAGGGATGTGTATATATATGCTTGTACATGTATGTGTAGTGTGACCTAAGTGTAAGTAGAAGTAGCAAGACGTACCTGAAACCTTGCATGTTTATGAGACAGACAAAAGACACCAGCAATCCTACCATCATGTAAAACAATTACAGGCTTTCGTTGTACACTCACTTGGCAGGACGGTAGTACCTCCCTGGGCGGTTGCTGTTTACCAACCTACTACCTAGGGAAGAACTGAATAATAGTCATAATTAGCATCAATAAATTGCAAAATAGAATTGATAGAATTGATGAGGGAAAAAAGGTGAGTGGTGCGTTGAGGTATATGTGGAGTCAAAAAACGTTATCTATGGAGGCAAAGAAGGGAATGTATGAAAGTATAGTAGTACCAACACTCTTATATGGGTGTGAAGCTTGGGTGGTAAATGCAGCAGCGAGGAGACGGTTGGAGGCAGTGGAGATGTCCTGTTTAAGGGCAATGGGTGGTGTAAATATTATGCAGAAAATTCGGAGTGTGGAAATTAGGAAAAGGTGTGGAGTTAATAAAAGTGTTAGTCAGAGGGCAGAAGAGGAGTTGTTGAGGTGGTTTGGTCATTTAGAGAGAATGGATCAAAGTAGAATGACATGGAAAGCATATAAATCTATAGGGGAAGGAAGGAGGGGTAGGGGTCGTCCTCGAAAGGGTTGGAGAGAGGGGGTAAAGGAGGTTTTGTGGGCAAGGGGCTTGGACTTCCAGCAAGCGTGCGTGAGCGTGTTAGATAGGAGTGAATGGAGACGAATGGTACTTGGGACCTGACGATCTGTTGGAGTGTGAGCAGGGTAATATTTAGTGAAGGGATTCAGGGAAACCGGTTATTTTCATATAGTCGGACTTGAGTCCTGGAAATGGGAAGTACAATGCCTGCACTTTAAAGGAGGGGTTTGGGATATTGGCAGTTTGGAGGGATATGCTGTGTACCTTTATACGTATATGCTTCTAAACTGTTGTATTCTGAGCACCTCTGCAAAAACAGTGATAATGTGTGAGTGTGGTGAAAGTGTTGAATGATGATGAAAGTATTTTCTTTTTGGGGATTTTCTTTCTTTTTTGGGTCACCCTGCCTCGGTGGGAGACGACCGACTTGTTGAAAAAAAAAAAAAAATTGCAAAACATAAATATTGCTGGTGCATTTACACTACTGTTACTGATGAGTGATAATTTTTTTGCCAACTTCAATACACTATAATACCTTAAGTTTTTATATAATTCTTCTCATTCTTGTCTTATTTGATTCATAAAAATGCACTTTCATTCTATAAGATTTTTAAAAAAAAACTTCCTACACAGAATTTTTTTTTCTAGGTATGCCACAATTTATGGGTTAAAAGTGCAGCTAAATTTATATTTTTTCAGCTTCCTGTTCATTAGGAGCAGCACAAGCAAGTATTGAAGCAGCTGCTGACCATGTTAAGGTTCGCAAGCAGTTTGGAAAACCCCTCTCAAGTTTTCAGGTTGGCTATGTTCTTAAAGTTTCTAGAAGCTTTTCCTTGCATATGTGCACTTACATGTTTTCTAGGTAATAGTAATTTTAATTAATTGTACTAATAATTTTACTTAGTATTATCTTTTTTTTTTTTTTTTTTTCAACAAACCGGCCGTATCCCACCAAGGCAGGCTGGCCCAAAAAGAAAACTGAAATTTCTCTTTTTAAATTTAGTAATTTATACAGAAGGGGTTACTAGGCCCTTGCTCCCAGCATTTTAGTCGCCTCTTACAACATGCATAGCTTACGGAGGAAGAATTCTGTTCCACTTCCCCATGGAGAAGTATTATCTTTGTCTTTACTTACATCCAAGTCCGAAGAAATAATCTTCAGAGAACTGTAATTTCATTATAGTATGTATTGTTTTGTCCGTAATTTAATTAAATAGTACCATTCGCCCTGTAACTAGACAATTATATTTTCATGCTATTTTATGAATTAATTTTTAACTTGTACAGTAGAACCCCGGATTTCATCCTTAATCCGTTCCAGAAGGTCGGTCTAAATCTGAAACGGACAAAAACCGAAGCAGTGTTTCCCATAAGAAATAATGTAAATTTCTTTTTTTTTTTTCTTCAACAAGTCGGCCATCTCCCACCGAGGCAGGGTGACCCAAAAAAAGAAAGAAAATACCCAAAAAGAAAATACTTTCATCATCATTCAACACTTTCACCTCACTCACACATAATCACTGTTTTTGCAGAGGTGCTCAGAACACAACAGTTTAGAAGCATATACATATAAAGATACACAACATATCCCTCCAAACTGCTAATATCCCGAAACCCCTCCTTTAGAGTGCAGGCGTTGTACTTCCCATTTCCAGGACTCAAGTCCGGCTATATAAAAATAGCCGGTTTCCCTGAATCCCTTCACTAAATATTACCCTGCTCACACTCCAACAGATCGTCAGGTGTGGTGAATGGTTTTGAAAACCGACAAGTTGAAGAATTGAGACACTTGTGCAACACATGGGAATCTTTATTGAAGAAACGTTTCACCACACAGTGGCTTCATCAGTCCAATACAAAGTAGAAATGGGTAAGGAGAGGAGGAGTTCAAGGTAATCAGTCCCTCACCCTGGAATCGATGTGTTCAGTCCATCACTCTTGTAGGAAGTGCGGCATAGGGCCAGAGAGGTGGCTTATATACGGCAGTCAGATGAGTTGAAGCAGGAGGAGGTGGGATCACAGTGGGGCCTGCCACTTGTGTAAGTAGGTCGTCGTCCAAAGGTTGGGCAAGCGTTGAAGTCTTTGTACCAAGATCCCATGATGTTGCAGTGTCTGACGCTGCAACATGGGATCTTGGTACAAAGACTTCAGCGCTTGCCCAACCTTTGGACGACGACCTACTTACACAAGTGGCAGGTCCCACTGTGATCCCGCCTCCTCCTGCTTCAACTCATCTGACTGCCGTATATAAGCCACCTCTCTGGCCCTATGCTGCACTTCCTACAAGAGTGATGGACTGAACACATCGATTCCAGGTTGAGGGACTGATTACCTCGAACTCCTCCTCTCCTTACCCATTTCTACTTTGTATTGGACTGATGAAGCCACTGTGTGGCGAAACGTTTCTTCAATAAAGATTCCCATGTGTTGCACAAGTGTCTCAATTCTTCAGATCGTCAGGTCCCAAATGCCATTTGTCTCCATTCACTCCTATCGAACACGCTCATGCACGTACAATTAATTCATTCCAGACACCCAAAAATATTAACAAAAAATACATTTTTTAAAGAATATAGTTTTACATACAAAAAAACAATAAGAAAGAAATATAAATGACTAATGAAATGGATAAATGAACATTTAACATCATACTTACCTTTATTGAAGACTTTTGTTGGGGTATGGACAGCTAGAAGGGAAGAGGGAGGAGGAACAGAGGTTATTGTTTCTCACCTTCTTTACCAAAGGGCTGGCACTATGAACTTTCTTTGGACTCATGGTGGCTTATTTCACAGTCGCACTCAATAAACAAGCACAAAAAACAATGGATTATTACGAAATGCTTTGGATGAATGCCACTCAACCAGTGACACGTACCCATGAGTGGTGGCATCCCGGGCGGGCAGACGTGTCCGATACGGATGATTTCCAGGACAAAGTAGGAAATCTGGAGCAAAGTTTTGCCGAAAAAAGTGGTCAAAATCCAAATTGTACGATATCTGGTGCAGATGAAATCTGGGGTTCCACTGTATCTATTTTTAAGTTCTTATTAATACCATATATTAGACACTTGAAAACAAAAAATAAAACTGTGTAAGTTTTGAGTATTGTCTAAGTTTTGCTTTATGGGTTTTCAGATTATTATATGCTTTGATATATAATACTTTTGAAATAAACATTTTTATTGAAAGTATTTACTGTATAGCACAGGTAAGGTTGGTGACAGTGTATGAGAAATTATGTCATGTCTTAAACATGAAACTGGTAAATTTTTGCCATGTGTGATGTCAGTTTAATGATTAAATCAGTTCAATACCTTATCTCTGCATTTCAGAACAGCCAATTCCGCCTGGCAGAGATGTCAACTGAATTAGTAGCATCCCGATTGCTAGTACGTAATGCTGCAACAGCTCTGCAGGATGATCATCCAGATGCTGTCACCCTCTGCTCCATGGCAAAATATTATGCTACAGAAAAATGTTTTAATGTAAGTTCTACTTGTATATGCAGTATTATTTAAAAAAAAATTAGGGGTGTGGTATGTGTAATATTCTTCTTTCAACAGACCAGCTGCATCCCACCGAGGCAGGGTGGCCCAAAAAGAAAAAACGAAAGTCTCTCTTCTTAAATTTAGTAATGTGTAATAAATGAATATCTTAATACTACAGTATATCCTCAAATAGAGCCACTACTTACAAGGTCAACCTTTATTACAAAGTTGTGCTACCTCTAAGGGTAAACAGCTATCTAGAGGCAAAACAAAATAGCCTTAATCAAAAATATTAAATCCCAGCCTAGGGTCAGACTAACTCATAAACTTAAAAAAAAAAAATTGCTGAACATGTGGATAATATAGGGTTTTAGAAATGGTAATCTTAACCCTCAGGGTCCAGAGGCCAAATTTTAAAGTGCGCACCAGTGTCCAAGAATTTTCAAAAAATAATTTTGTTATTTTTTCTTATGAAATGGTAGTGAATCTTTTTCTGAAGGTAATATAACAAAAAGTATGAAATTTGATGGAAAACTGACGAAATTATGCTCTCACGAATTTTGATGTGTCAGCGATATTTACGCATCGGCGATTTTGCCAACTTCTACTCCCATTTTCGGCCAGTTACCTTATTCCAGTCGATCAGATTCTTAGCTATTTCACTAGTATTACTTTTATTCTATCAATTGAGCACAAGAAATCGCCAACTCAGCTGTTTCAACTACAAAATAAAGTGATTGGAAATTGGTAATTTGGCCAATTTAGTGCAAAGTCCAAAATATTCCAATTTCAAAATAGGGTCCAGAATAAACAATTCAGGCATTCCTGGCACTAAACTAACATTTCCTCTGTTCATTAGTCATGTTTTCAGGCTTTACAAATGAATTCCATTTTGATTTTTAATTCACATAATGAATTTTTATTCAAACCAAAAAATAGAAGATTTACTGTCATGCAATATTGTAATAATTGTATAAATAATATCAGCGCATTTGTGAACGTATATTAGACCTACCAGCTGGCATGTATTAGACGTGTGAGGTCATTTGTTTACTCTTGAACATCGGCAAAAATTTAACATTTCCGCTACTTTGAGCTCAGTTTCAAGCCATTTTCAATACTAAAACCAATCAAAATCATCTCTATTTCTGTAATATATCTTCCTTTCTATCAAATGAGACCAAGAAATTGCAAATACAACTATAAAAAATATATGAAAAAACACTGCAAAGTTGCTGTTTTAATCGAAAATTATGGTCTCAGTTTTTTTCTCTCATTATGCACTGTGTGCTGCAGGATTTGTTTTATGTGTTGCACACATACCACATAGATGTATTCTCTCATATCTAGGCCCAAATTTACCACTCACAGCTTATCAGAGCTGAGCTGAGCTCATGGCGTAGATCTACGGTTTGGACCCTCAGCGTAAAGCCGTAGATCTACGGCATGGACCCTGAAAAGGTTAAAGGAAGGTTAAATGAAACTTCTAAGAAAATAATCATATATTTAAACAAACAGTATGTACACCCAAAACCACCATCTTACTCTACCCCAATATTCATCATCAAGAAAATCACTGCAGTTTTACACTCCAATATACCCTTAGCAGATGGCTCAAGTAGGTCAACCTGCTCCTAGAAGGTATCAAAACTCATAGCAGGCATGTAAGAAAAAAAGTCGTCTCGTGACATGCCTGGGTGGCGGTTCCCCCTGCTGGTAAACACACCAATCTTGGCTCTCTCCTACTCTACACACACATATGCTCGATGTAAATAACAGGGCGAGGTACACTTTGACATCTTTTAACCTAAAATAAATGGCATACATTACCCATAGGAATGGTTAGCACCTCAAAATAGCCTCCACAACATGACTGTCGCTCTTCCACTTTCTCCACTGTTGTCATGATGTCACTTTACAAAAAACATCCACAAACAGTCAACATAATATCACAAAGTTTAGAGTTCTTTTGTCATCTCATGAAATGGGATTATTTTTTTATTACAAAGACATGTTTTACACTAACACTATGGCAGTGTATTTAAAAAGGACACAAGCAGTAGTCTTCACAATAACCCTGTGTACCATATGAGCCATATGACATATTACAATCTAACCTCACTTATCCAGGTAACACACAACCAAGAATTCTATGACAAAAAAGGTTTAATTGAGTCTACATTATTCCAGTTAATCAAAATTTTTTATCCCAGGTGAGAGAGCCTGAACACAACAGTTAAATCAACATTGCATATGATTGGCCTGTTGTTTACAAATATCACAAATGAAATGCAAAGTGTGTAACTGTAGTTTTGTTTCTACACATTTTATGGTAAATATGAAAAATGATTTTTCAGATGTTTCATTTTACACTTTTGAATAAAAGCAACAGGTACAAAAAAATGTGAGTACTATAATACGTACATAATTTATTGAAGCAGTAGAGATGTACAGTGGTACCCCGAGTTTCGTACAGCTCCCAACTTGAGCAATTATGTAAGTGTATTATTGTAAGTGCTTTTGTAAGTGTATTTTTGGGGGTCTGAAATGGACTAATCTAATTTACATTTTTCCTTATGGGAACAAATTTGTTTGGTAACGGCACAGTGGTGCCCTGAAACTCGGGATACCACTGTATGTATAATCTAGCAAAAAGAATCGCTGCAGAAACTAGATATTCCTGGTTTCCTGGAAGTGTTAGATAATACTCTAATATATATGGTTTGTGAGACAACACAATAAGTGTCAGGGGCCCAAGACTGTTCAACTGCCTCCCAGCATACATAAGGGGGGTTACAAATAGACCCCTGGCTGTCTTCAAGCAGGCACTGGACAAGCACCTAAAGTCGGTACCTAACCAGCCGGGCTGTGGTTCATACGTTGGATTGCATGCAGCCAGCAGTAACAGCCTGGTTGATCAGGCCCTGATCCACTATGAGGCCTGGTCACAGACCGGGCCGCAGGGGCGTTGACCCCTGGAACTCTCTCCAGGTAAACTCCAGGTAAACACTACACACTATTACTTACAAGATCACCTTGGTTACAAAGCAATCACCTTGCTGAACTCTCCACGACATTTTTATCTCATATCAATTACTGAACTTCCTCTTAGGCCTCTTACTGTTCCTAGTACTGTATATTTTAATCACATGCAAGTTAGGATAGATTCTTACATGTCAGTATTCAGGTATAATGCTAAGGGAAGATGATGACAGGGAAGCTTGAACTGGCTGAATGATTAGTTAATAACAACCCTAGCAAATGTAGGACAATGTTATTCAGAAATCTGTACAAAGACCCCTTCAAATCATTCTTTACCACTTACAACCATGTATGTATGCATCTGTTTCCTCTTTGGTGCCATTTGTCATATATTACATTTTAGAAATTAATTTCTCATGCTTAAATCATTTATTTTATAGCAGCAAATATTTATATTGTTGCCTATTTTTGGCTAAATTTTTGTTAAGAATATTAAAGTAAATATTGCAAGCATTTATAATTATAATCAATAATATTTGCAGATCATCAATGAGGCTCTACAGCTTCATGGAGGATATGGTTACTTGAAAGACTACAGTGTTCAGCAGTACTTAAGGGATTCACGTGTTCACATGATATTAGAAGGAACTAACGAAGTCATGCGAATTTTAATTGCACGACATATTCTTGCCGACTGAAGATAAATGTAAATAATAAACTACATAGCAAAATTTGTAATGAAATGACCAAATTTCTTATTTTCAATGTAGTACTCTTATTATTTGATGCAAAAAATGTCTAATGGTAAAATGGTTTATTATTGTATTCAGAAAAATGCGCTAAATCTATATATGTACATCACTTAGTATATACTGTGAAACTGGTGCTTTCTATATGCCCCAGGATACATAGTCCTAAAACCATTTATGTGCCACTTAATGATTCAGTGTATGAATTTGTACAATATAAATTTTATATGCCTAGACCCCCCCCTCCCCCTGATCTGGTCTTGCCATGAATTTACATATAATGGCCTATCACAGCTGCCCACGAGACCCATCTTAACATATGTCAATGGAGTACACAGCACCAGTATGGAACCCACACCTGAGGAATCAGGTTAAAAAACTAGAGAAAGTGCAGAATTATACAACAAGGGGGCATGAACTGTGAAAAGAGTCTAAAGGAAGTGAATTTAACGACACGAGAGTACAGAAGGACCCGGGGAGATAACACCAAACAAAATATTCAAATGAATTGATAGGGCAGACAGGGACATCCTGTTTGAGAGGCAGGAAACAGGTACTCAGAGTCACAGGAATGTCAGAAACTATTTCTTCAGTCACAGGGTGATTGGAAAGGAAAATGACCTTGACAAAGAAGCGGTGGAGGCAGACCACATACAGTGTTAAGAGTAGGTACAATAGGGCCCATGAGGCTAGGTGGTGTGGCTAGAACCTGAGACTCAACCCCTGCAACTACATATAGGTGAGTACTCAATTATTTGAAATTAATTAAAACAGCTTGCCAGTACGAAATAAACTCTAAAAATAATTAACAATGACTAGCACAATTGTGGAACAGAATTTTTCCTCCGTAACCATGCGTGTTGTAAGAGGCGACTAAAATACCGGGAGTAAGGGGCTAGTAACCCCTTCTGTATAAATTATTAAGTTTAAAAAGAGAAACTCTCGTTTTTCTTTTTGGGCCGCCCTGCCTCGGTGGGATATGGCCAGTTTGTTGAAAGATGATGATGACAACTAGCACAATTAGGATATCATATAACAATGCAAATACAAATGAAAATCTGAGCTTGTGAAAACATTTGATTTATAGGTTATGCAGTGCTTTATGGTATTATCTGGCATTTAACAAACCACTGCTCCTCAAAAGGGGTGCCCTAATGCCAGTAAAATGCTCTTCATCCAAGGAATTGAAGCTGCTCGTTTCCTTGGATCAAAGCTGAATGCCTCTCATAGCCCAGGCACTATGACCTGTGTGAGTTTAGTGCTTCAGTAAAATAATGACAAACCCCTAATCTATTTGGCATATTAAAAAAAATTTATTCAGTACTTTACTGTCATGGTGGTATGACAGCCACAGATATAATCTTGCAAAACAAATCTCCAGTCTTGTAAATCATGTATGAAAGATTATGCTGTAACAAAATTACTCTTCATATGGCACTTAGCAAATTTTATGGCTTCTCCCTTTATATTTTTCTAGAATTATTGGGTCTGTAAAACGAGTTGTGGGCAGTTGCTACCTATTTAAAGGCCCTGAGCACCCCCCATCCCTTCTGTAAAGGGCCTGGATACTGCTGTATAATGCTCCAAGCACTACCACTGTAAAAATCCTGAACATTATTGGTACACCTGTGAAACTTCCAACTGCTACCAGAACTCCAGTGAAAGACCTGAGCAATACAGGCAAGCCTGGGAAAGGCCCTAACACTACCTCCAATGGCAGGTCATCATCTAAGACCTGCATTAGGAAACACTTGTCTTGTTTCCCCTTGTGTGTGTGCACGTGCATGCACGCTTTGTGTGTGTGTGTGTGTAACCCAATTAATATTTGCACTAATAACTCATTACAGTTATGATCGGGTGTGGACATGTGAATGGCTCATTACTTTGTAATTTGTTCATGATTGTAACCATGTATAGACGTGTAAATGGCTCATACCTTTGTAACTTGTCATGATTGTGACGAGATCTACCTGGAGTTCATTACCTTTGTAACTTGTTCAGCTATCAGAACTTTGGGGCCCAGTCCCTGGACCCATTATGTACCTCTGTAATCTTTTGACTACCGCTCACGGGATGGGTATGGGGTGCATAATAAAGATATTAAACTAACTAACTGTTTCCTGACGAACCTTACCTAACCTAATGTAGCTACCTCTGTGAAGAATTTGATCTGTATCAGAATGCCTGTGAAAGATCTACTTATTACCTATGTAAAAGGCCTGTGTAAAAAGCATAAACATTACACCCATAAATGAACTGTGTATACATTAGTAAAAGACTTGCACAACTTATCTGAGTGGACAGCTGTTGCCCATTAAGGTTTAAGCACCTGAAGGAATAGCTGTTAACTACATAAGGGGAACATAAAATTCTATAACTTTCACACACAACAAACATACCAACTTTTGTGTACTCTGAAGAAGCCTACTGTATAGGCAAAACATTTTAAAATAAAGATACCAAACTGTTGCACATGTGTCTTATCTAACAAACATACAGGACATAATTTGCACATGCGTTATTATTATTATTCATGGAGAACGAGCACATAGGCATTATACATTGCCTGGGGAATAGAAGGTTTTCAGGTTTAATTCAAGGAACTGGAGCACAGGTCCAAATCTTTTGATCAAGAGCCCCTCACCAGCATCAAGGATCCTATGCTGCTCAAGACAGAGCAGAGCCCCCCACACACCAGAGCCATACCATTCATGGGGAGTGCTAAATCTGTATGGGTCATACAGCATCTGGGGTGAAGGAATGTGAGACAATCAGGTTCAATCGAAGGAAGGCGAACACAGGTCCAATTCCTTAGATTAAGATCCCCTCTCACTGGAATCAAGGAACCTCCCATGAGAGAAAATCCACCATGATCATAATCTCAACAAATACCCCGTCAGAAAATGCTGCCCAGAGACTCCATCATTCAGTGACTTATTTCTGCTTATTGTGGTATAAAACCTGACCACCACCAGCATACAACACCTGATACCCAAGTGAAACATTCTATACTGGCAAAGACGAAGAATCACAGAGCTGCTAAAATGGGCCAATATATGTGAAGTACGAAATGAGACACTGGTCAGAGAAAAAGCAAATACATGTACTACTGTATTGAACTTAAGCTTAAGGAATCATAAAGAAGACAAGAAACACAGGAATAACTTAAAGCCATAAATGAAGCTGAAAGAAACCCCAAATACGTACTTCTTTTCCAATGCCAAATCTAGAGAAAAAGACAACTTTCAGCAAAGACATCAGCGGTGCAAGACTTTTGTGGGTTTAGCGACCCACACCAGTCGACGAACACCCAGGTACCCATTTTACTGATGGATGAACAGGGACAGCAGGTGTAAAGAAACACGCCCAATGATTCTATTTGGCTGGGAATCGAACCCAGACCCTCGCCGTGTGAAGCGAGACCTTTAGCCACAAGAGCCTAATGATGAAAAATAATAAACAGCAAAGAAATAAATGAAATACTGAAGTCCCAATATGACTCAGCGTTTAGTGAGCCGCTAACAGTACTAAGAGTCGACAGTCTGAATGAAATTTTTATGACAGACTCAAAATTTGGTTGATTCAAAAATCTCTGATGTTATCCTAACACAACAGGACTTTGAAGAAAGCAATCCGCTCAAGGGAGGTTCCTTGATGCTGGCAAGGGGCTCTTGAACTAGGGAATTGGATCTGTGCTCCAGTTTCCTGAATTAAGCCTGAGTACCTTCCATCCCCACCCCCATAGGCGCTGTATAATCCCTACGGGTTTAGCGCTCCCCCCTCAAGGAAGGTTCCTTGATGTTGGTGAGGGGCTCTTGATTTAGGGAATTGGATCTGTGCTCCAGTTCCCCGAATTAAGCCTGAATGCCTTCCACATCCCCCCCCCCAGGCGCTGTTGGTGGCCTGGTGGCTAAAGCTCCCGCTTCACACACTATGACCGCGGGTTCAATCCCGGCCGGGGATATGGTTTGTTTGCAATCGTGTCATTACGATTTCTTAAGTCTCGAAAAAAAAATGTATTTACCACTTACAGGAATGGCAACCTTTTTATTTACCATTGAGTAATTTTAGCTTATTTTTTCATCATTATACGATTTCTGTAGATGTAAAATATTATTTGAAAGAGAATCAAATAAAAGTGCATGCTTTCCTCGCACAAGAAAACATTTAAGAGAAAAATATGGAGGTGGGTTTGGTGGTGATGGTGTTGGTAGACATGGTAGCAGTAGAGGCAGTATTGGCGGCAACAACAACAAGGTGGTGGAGTCTGGTCATTACTACTGTTATTAACAAGATAAAACACTATGTCCAAACAACCTTCTATATTTAAATTCTTCTCCAAATCGCCCTCGCAGAACAAGAGCCAAAATAAGAAGACGACCAAGGAGAATGTCAAGCTCAGTGGAAATGGTGAGCGTGGAGAACTTGAACCATAAGTTGTCTGCATGTTGCTCTTGAAGTCTTCCTTATTATTGCTCTAGTTATTATTATATTGGTCAGCTGCAAGGCTCTGTGGTACTTTGATGCCTTTGAAGGGCTCTTGATCCAAGGAACTGGACCTGGATTGAACACTGGCATTCCCAGGTGCTAAATGACTCCTAGAGTTCAGTACTTTCTCCTAATAAAAAAGAATCCATGTACCACAATAAACAAAAATGCTTATAACGGGTTAAATAAAATACAATAAACTAAAAATCACAGTTAACGTTGTGTCAGGACTTATCATGCCTCTAATTTTGTATGAATTTAGTTTAATAACATTATAATAAAAATAGTTTCGTATAGTAATCTATAATTACTATGACTATAATAAGCTTTATTTACATATAACATTTACAGATATGTTTGAATATTTCTACAACAGTTACACTGAGCACATTATAGGTGCCCAATGGTAATAATCCCCTCAAGGGAGGTTCCTTGGCACTGGTGAAGGGATCTTGATCTACGGAATTGGATATGTGCTCCAGTTCCCTGAATTGAGCATCAATGCCTTCCATCTCCCCCCCCCCCACAGGCACTGTATAATCCTACAGGTTTAGTGCCCCCCATGATTATAATAATAATGGTAAGCAATTATATTTAGGATAAGCCACAAAAACAATTACAGTAGTAGGATGTGATTCCTTTAGAGTTATTCTCGGCTTGGTTGTTAGCAGCCTCATCTCTCACTATGAGATCTGAGTTTAATCCAGAGCATGTGTAGAAATGTTAGGCACGTTTCCTTGGCACGAGGGTCAACCTCTGTAGCTCATGGTCACCAGGTCAGCAAGATCTGTTCTTACTGTAGGCTTTTGGTAGTTTCCCATGAGAGGTGAATTTAGAAGCTTCAAAACCCTATCACACACCTATGCCTTCAGGTTTGTAATGGCAATGACTGCTCTCTCTAAGATGTTCAGATGCTAGTAAGTTTATTCAGGTACAGGTACACATAAATACAATTATATAAATTATCATGCATAGCAGCACATGTGTAGATTACCTAGGATAACCCAAAAAAGTCACACACTGACTTATTTCCTACTGTCTCATCTGTGACACTGGGTTAGCCTATGATGTCACTGACTAAAGGAAGGTTGTTATTTGGAGGAACCCATTTCCATTACTGACAGTTGTGATAAGCTTTAAGAGTTAAAAGAGAGAAGTTGATTTTGTGACAGCAAGTGTATATTCTATAACAAACTAACAATTATTTCAGATATTACCCCACTGGACATGGTTTGGGCCAAGATGGATGGATACCCTTGGTGGCCTGCACTTGTGTGTGAAAATCCACAAGAAAAGTCTTTCCTTCGTAATGGTCTAATACACGTGCAATTTTTTGACAACCCACCAACTAGAGGATGGGTGAAGGAGGCGTAAGTACATTTTAATTGGTATTTTTATTTTTGTCAGGAAGACCTGTACAGGATGGATAATGAGAACCTTCAAAACGAGGGATGCCAAGCCCATGATGACACTCTTCAGGTCACTTGTTCTATCTAGGCTGGAATATTGCTGCACACTAACAGCACCTTTCAAGGCAGGTGAAATTGCTGACCTAGAAAATGTACAGAGAACCTTCACGGCGAGCATAACGGAGATAAAACACCTCAATTACTGGGAGCGCTTGAGGTTCCTGAACCTGTATTCCCTGGAACGCAGGCGGGAGAGATACATGATTATATACACCAGGAAAATCCTAGAGGGACTAGTACCGAACTTGCACACGAAAATCACTCACTACGAAAGCAAAAGACTTGGCAGACGATGCAACATCCCCCCAATGAAAAGCAGGGGTGTCACTAGCATGTTAAGAGACCATACAATAAGTGTCAGGGGCCCCGAGACTGTTCAACTGCCTCCCAGCATACATAAGGGGGATTACCAACAGACCCCTGGCAGTCTTCAAGCTGGCACTGGACAAGCACCTAAAGTCGGTTCCTGATCAGCCGGGCTGTGGCTCGTACGTTGGTTTGTGTGCAGCCAGCAGTAACAGCCTGGTTGATCAGGCTCTGATCCACCAGGAGGCCTGGTCACAGACCGGGCCGCGGGGGCGTTGACCCCCGGAACTCTCTCCAGGTAAACTCCAAGTAAGCCATACAGAATTTAATACAGTGTATAATACAATTTTTTTGTAGGTAAATGAGGTCATAAGCTGACAAGTGAAAATACAGTAGATTGCTAGGAGGGAAACATTTTATTACCACACTTTACCTGAGGCTGGGCTTTATAAAGTGCTGTACTGTATTCAGTACAGGAAAAACCAATACACCACTTTACAAGCCTTGTACAAACCCTGAGGTGAGGCTTGGAGAAAAACAGGTCAAAGGCGAGGTCAGGTTCTGGTGAGAGTAGAGGCGAGGCCAAGGTGACAGGACAGGGTTTGTTTTGTTTATTGTAAAAATCATGAATTATGTGGGCAGTGGGTTTAGCTAACATATAGTAGATGTCATAAATATGCATCCACATACATATGCTTTTAGTAGACTATTTTCCTGACAGTTTCAAGAAATGCTAGGGCAACTTTTTTATGCAAGATGGTGTCCCTTGCCATATTGCCAAGAGCATAAAACATTGGCTCAATGAATGTGAAATTCCATACTTTAATGAGTGGCCTGGCAGCTCATCAAACTTGAGTCCAACAGAGAGCATGTAGAACCTTACTCAGTGTAAGCTTCATGGCATGTACATGTCATCTATTCCCAAACTCTCGAGTGCCATTAAGTAAATGTGGGAAGGTATTAACTCTTCTATCCTCCATACTGTAGCCTTATCAGTGCCTTGGAGACTTAAGGAGTGCATCAAGAGGTAGGGTAATCCTACAAAATACTAGTACATATAGGTATATAACCCATACATATTGAAGTACGTATATTTGATGTTTAAAACAATGTTTTATGGTGAGTGTTCTCAGTGTGTATATTTGATGTATATTTGATGTTCATTGTACATTTCCCTTTTGCTGTACCGTAGAACAAAAATCCATTAACTCTGGATCATTAAACTGAGGTTTAGTTTGGCTATTATTGGGATTTTAAGGGATACTGACAGCTTGTGTTGTATAAAGGTCTAACTCCTGGTGTCTGGGAAGGAAAATTTCCTTCTCTAGGTAGAAAAGGAAAACGGGACATACATCCCTAAACGTTAAGGCAATACTCGTCTGTTAGACCTAGTGGATCCAGCAGATCCCTGAGCTAGCAGCAACTAACTCAACCAACAGCTGTACAGTATAACCACAGCACAGAAAAGGAATTGATGCATGGCACCCCATCCATTGTTGTGTTCAGTGGGCAAGAAAGGATAAGGACGGTTGTCTAAATAAAAGATTAGATGTAAATTGTTATCGATGTTCAGGGCAGAGCAAGACGTCCACACACAATCTAAGCCAGTTGGGTTAAGAATGTTGTGGTTGGTGTGTCATTAACCCTTTGACTGTTCCGGCCCTATACGTATATATATCTTACGAGGTACCATGTTTGATGTATATATACTCATAAATTCTAGCGGCTTCAAATCAAGCAGGAGAAAGCTGGTAGGCCCACATGTGAGAGAATGGGTCTGTGTGGTCAGTGTGCACCACATAAAAAAAATCCTGGAGCACGCAGTGCATAATGAGAAAAAAAAACTCCGACCGTTTTTTTTTATTAAAATGCCGAATTTGTGGTCTATTTTCGTATAGAATTTATGGTTGTATTTTCGTTTTCTTGGTCTCATTTGATAGAATGGAAAACATATTATAGAAATAGAGGTGATTTTGATTGATTTTACTATAAAAAGAACCTGGAAATGGAGCTCAAAGTAGAGGAAATGTTTGATTTTTGCTGATGCTCAAACGTAAACAAATGATGTCATTATCCAATAAATGTCCAACTAGCTATTCTAATATGCAGTCATGAATGGGTTGATGTTATTTACACAATTATTACAGTATTGCTGTAGTCTGCATAATAGTAAGTCTTCTATTTTTTGTTTGAATAAAAATTCAAAGTAGAAAGCAAGAGTAATATCAGAGGGGCCTGGAGACATGACTGATGAACAAAGAAAATGTTATTTTAGAGCCAGGAATGTCTGCATTGTTCATTCTGGACCTTATTTTGAAATTGTCATATTTTTTAATTTTCGTGAAATTGGCCGAATTGCAAATTTCTGACCACGTTATTGGGTAGTTGAAATTGGTAAATGGGCAGTTTCCTGTACTCAATTGATAGAAAAAACGGGGTTCTAAAGAAATAGCTATGAGTTTGGTCGACTGGAACAATGGAATTAGCCGAAAATAGGGCTCAAAGTGGGCGAAATCGCTGATTTGTAAATATCGCCGAGGTCGCTAAATTCGCAAGAGCGTAATTCCGTCAGTTTTCCATCAAATTTCTTTTTTTTTTGTGTTATTACAATCGGGAAAAGATTCTCTATCATTTCATAAGATTTTTTTTTTTTTTTTTTTTTTTTTTTTAAATTTTGCGACACCAGGAGACACCTCAGGATTGGGGGTTGCGACAGTCAAGGGGTTAATGGCTGCAGTATTTGCACCCTTCTGAAAAGGCAGTTAGAGAGCTGATTCCTTTAAAAAAGTTGCTGATTGCATGATACTGTAATAATACTTTCGTAAGTTAAATTTTTGCTAGTTATGGATTTATGCAATATAAGAGAGATTGAATTGTAATAAATGTGATATTTTACTGAATGTTATATTATTTAATATACAGTGGACCCCCGGTTTGCGATATTAATCCGTTCCTGAGAGCTCATCGTAAACCAAAATTATCGAAAAGTGAATCAATTTTCCCCATAAGAAATAATGGAAATCAAATTAATCCATGCAAGATGCCCAAAAGTATGAAAAAAAAATTTTACCACATGAAATATTAAGTTTAATGCACACAAACTAAAGAAGACATGCACAGTTTGTAGTACTCTACTAACAATAGAATACATGACACTTACCTTTAATGAAGATCTGGTGATGATTGATGGGATGGGATGGGAGGAGGGGAGAGTGTCGAACTTATTGTTTAGAAGGGGAATCCCCTTCCATTAGGACTTGAGGTAGCAAGTCCTTTTCCATCTCACTTGAGAGATGCTATCTACTGCTATCTGTTTTTCATTTATCCACACCAATAACAGTCTCTCAACATCTTCTAACACTTGCGGTCGCTGTTTCGTAATCACGGTTGCACCTTTTGCAACAACAGCTTCCTTGATTGCCATTTTCCTGGTCACTATAGTAGCGATGGTTGATTGGGGTTTTGTATACAACCTGGCCAGCTCCGACACACGCACTCCACTTTCGTGCTTTGTAATTATCTCTTTCTTCATTTCAATAGTCATTAGCACCCTTTTTCTCGAAGGGTTGGCACTAGAAGCTTTCTTGGGGCCCATGGTGACTTTGCAGAAACAAGCACCAAAAACACTGTGATAATATGGAATGTATCGAATGTATCCTTAGATGCGAGCACACTGGCTGGCTTGTAAACACTGGCACACATGGGGCAGTTCAGACCACACGTGGACACGTCTTGAACGAATCGCGTATACCGGGTTTTTTAACGGAAACCGAGGCAAAATATTTACGTTAAAATGTATCGAATACCGGATTTATCGGATACCGATGCCATTGCAAACCAGGGGTCCTCTGAAATTTGTTGTTAGATAATATGAAGCATCTTTAAGTTATTGTATATAACAGTAGTGTAGAGATTGTTTAATTGGCTAATACAACCTCTCCACACTTAACGACGGAGTTCAGTTCCTAATACCTCATCGATAAACGAATTCGTTGCTAAACGAGGAGTATACTATAATGGTAGTGGGTTTATGTCAACCATCTTTGATATTGCTTTAATATCACCCTTGCACCATTTATAATATTTTTAGTATATTTTTAAATGTTTATACAGTAGTGTACAGTATATTGTAATAAACAGATTAGAGGAAGTCAGCTCTAATATACATTATTTAGGTATGCATACTGGTCAGAGAGCCTGTTGTAAGTCTGAGTCATCGGTAAATGAGTACGTCGCTAAGTGAGAAGAGGCTGTTAATATAAAACGTAATTAAGGTAGTTACAGTAGTTGAGAGAATAATTTACATTTTTTTATTATTTCTAGAAAATAAATTTAATTTGGTAAGAACTTAAAAGAGAACTAAAATATAGTCAGAGTACCATTTCATATTGAATATAAAAAAAATTATGAACGATAATGTCATTTCTTTCAGGTTTGTGAAGCCCTACTGTGTACCAGGACAAAATGGCATGCCAACATATAAAGATCCAGCTTGGCTTAATGCTGTAGAGGAAGCTAAGGGAGCAGAACAGCTTTCCAGAGAAGACAGAAGTATGTTGATTGTGAAGATGATGCCCTCAGATGATGAAGCAATGGAAGATGATGATGATGGTGAGAGATATTAAGAAAACAAATATAGTATTGTAAATTAGTTTGTCATTTTTTTTTTTTTTTGAGATGTTTTGTTTTTATGTATGTTTCACAGTACTGTACTGTACCTCAGAGTTCGAAGAGTTTTTCTACTCCTGGAGCCCGGCCATGGGTCAGGATTGTACAGTAATATGCATCACTGAATACCTCTATCTATTCTTCAAGTATTGTTTCCTGATTCTTATATGTCTTTGTTTTAATGTTTTGCATACACTTCAAGTACATAACCATATTTTAGAAGTTGATATAGTAACAACTGTTTCATACTTTGTAAGCAAAAACTTATGGTAGTATTTGTTCTGATCATTATTATTGAATGTTCTCTAGCTGAAGGTGTTGATTTGTCAGTACAGTATTTAAATTATTTAATGAGCATTAGTTACACACTTAAATGCATTAAATCTCAGACCTGTATAACATGGAGATAGCTTTTCTCAGTCAGAAATAATAACATAATCTCATAATGGTTGATTTTGTTCCGGTTAACTGTTAGTGGGCAACTAGCCCTTTCTGCTATGGATCAGAAACAAATAAATCATTAGTTGTGTTCTCTGTAGGCACAATACTAATGTCACAAGACCATTTAGTGTTCTTATTATTTTTTTTTTTAACTCACCAGCCATCTCCCTGCCAAGGCAGGACAACCAAGATCACATATACAGGAGGACCCTGTTTGTATGGTTCTTACATTCTCAAGCATGTATGGTAAGCAAAAATTGCTGGCAGGTGGAAACGAGCAATTTTTTCATTAATGAATGCTTCTAAAATGCCTGATCATGTGTTTACACTATCACATACAGTCACACCTCACTTAACGACCTACGTGTTTAACGACCACTCGGACTTACGACCAGCTCTCTGCAGCTGTTATTGTATATTAGAGCTGATTTCCTCTATTCCGTTTATTACAGTATACAGTACACTACTGTATAAACATTTAAAAATTAACTTAAAATATTATAAATGGTGCAAAGGTGACATTAAAACAATATCTAAAGATATTGTTGGCCTTACAACCTACTCATAGGAACAGAACTCAGTCATTAAGTGAGGAGTGCCTGTATTAAGTGCTCAATACAGCTAGGCATAAAAAACGGATAAAAAAGTAAAATAAATACACTTTACATACAATACTAACCTTAAAATATGGTGCCAGTTGCCCTTCCCATGTGCAACTGTTGTACGAAAACAGTGGAAAAGTAGTAAAAGCACCAAACATAATGAACAGTGGCTCATTTGAAAGCCAACAAAAACATGAACACCGAGAAAAGAGTGCTGTATATGCAGGGTCCTCCTGTATTCTTAAAATAGTGATGTATATGCAGGGTTATATAACATTTCCATCCAGTGGGTAGCGTGACAGTGTCAGCGTGCCTCGTAGTGCTCCGGGTTTTCTGGTGTTTTCACGGTGGCTCTTACGTGCTAGAACTTTAATTTGTGTCATCAATCCTATACGATACATCCCTCTAGCGCCTGGAACCAATCTTGGGCGGAAAACATTATATACTGAGTCAAAAAAGGAGAATTAGTGTGCACTACTTAGCAGAGTTTACTGCCAGAGGGGAATCATAGGCCTGTGTCCCATGTGAAAAAAATAATAATAATTGAACTTTGTGTCAGAGGAAAGAAAGTCTCCCTGAAAACATTGAGTATACATAGTGTATAGTGTATACTACAGTGGCTCCCTAGTATATTGATGATAAAGGCTAAAGTGTCATTTGAAAACAGGTGAATTTGTAAATGAAGTGATAAGCCTATAGAGGCAGGTGCCAGAAGTTGCCAGAAACTTACCACAGGTCAGCTGTTTTTAATAATCTTCCTGGCCTGCTAGTGTACTCGCATATAATCTAGTGATACCAGTGAAGAGCAGAATACAGTGTTGTAGTAGCAACTAACCAGTATTATAATGGTACTTAGTGGAGTGGAGTGACTTTCATTAGTTTCTTTTTTCTTGAAATACCAGACGTATACTGTGAATTTCATGTAACCTGTAGTTACCAGCGGTCGCAATATACACAACGAGAAGCAATTATTACTACAGAAAAAGCGTCCTTCCTCCAAAATTTGCACCAGTCAACTATAGTGATAATATAGCATTTATTGTGGTGGAGACGGAAAAAAAAAATAGAGAAGCTAGATACAGCGATTGATAAACAAGGGTGGAGGTCGACCGTTCGTCATTGTAGGAGTGCCAGCAGTCACCGGCTCTTCAACACGCAAGTTATACTTTTGTATCAATCAAATCACATATTACTCGGGTAGATAATTTCCAGTAGATCCTTCATGTGTTAGCTCAAATCACCGACCAGTATGGTTTAAATAAGTGACCCACTGATCAGATCAGATAGACTGGTCCGAACCCTTGACTGGTCCGAACCCTGGACTGGTTTCAAATGGTTTCGTTGTGCACTACCTAGCAGGTTATTAATAGAATATTCAAGAGGTTGCTAGTAGAATTGCAGTAAATCAACCATTCAAATTATTATGAAGCTGTGTGTAGTCTGTGGTCAGTCAAACAAACGGGCTTCCACATGGGTAAATTGTCATTTTTGTGGAAATTGGTGTCACGCCCCTTGTGCAGATATCCAAGAACTAGCTACAGCAGTGTTAAAACAGGGAAGTGTTTTTGGGTATGCCCAAATGAGATAAATCTGTGGACTAAAATCACAAGGGTATTAAAAGAGGTCAACATCAAAGCTGCTTTCATAGAAAACCTGGAAGCTTTCTACAACAGATGGGAACATAAAAAGTCTGGGCTGAATGGTACTGCCCTTGATACTGGCCATGTAGTCAGAAACTGTAAGGCTGGAGATGATGTCCTGGTAGTCAGTAAATGGGGGCTGATAGTGCTGTCCTGGGAGACAGTAATGTGAAGCTGGAGGTGCTGTCCTGGGAGACAGTAATGGTGAAGCTGGAGGTGCTGTCCTGGGAGACAGTAATGGTGAAGCTGGAGATGCTGTCCTGGGAGACAGTAATGGGGAAGCTGGAGATGCTGTCCTGGGAGACAGTAATGGTGAAGCTGGAGAGTTTGTCCAGGTAGTCGGGAATTATACGCAGGAAGGAATACATATAAATGACCTCATAGGGACAGGAGCCATAGTAGGGAAACAAGTGTAGTCAAAGATAAGATAAAACCAATATTGCAAACTAGAAATACCGCAGGAAATAGCAAACAAGAGGACTCCACTAGCAATAGTGAGGATATATTACCAAAAACAACTGGTGGGAGCTCCATTGTTGGTGCTAGGGAGGATAGAAGTAAGACAGGGAAACATGCACCAACAGGGAATACAGTCACAGAAACCCAAGGCAAACGGAAACCAAGCCTGTGCACATACTATGCACTTGGTATCTGCTGGCATGGGAAATCTGGAAAAACAGATGGGACGTGCAACTATGACCACCCTAGAAAATGCCATGCCCATATGACAACAGGAAAATGCAAACTCCCTTCCTGTAAGCTTTTTCACCCTGAACTGTGTACCTCTTCAGTACAGGAAAGACTGTGCTATAACTTAAATTGCCAGGCATACCATCTAAAGGGGACAAAAAGATACAAAACATCCAGGCCATGGGAAAACCTGGGTAGCCACAGCCACTCAAGAGGAGAGGTTTTTTAGTGCCAGGAAGGAAAAAAACTGGCAGGAAATGGCAGAAATCGTACACCAAATCCAGTCATTCCTGGAGTGGAACCAGAGTCAATGGCCTCCACTCCAAACCAACAGATACGATACTAAATGCCGGAAAAAAAAAACCCCCCCCAGTACCAACAATACCACCAGTCCGATAACATTCTTCTTTGCAAATATAACAGGGTCTAAAGCCAGCAACAAACAACAAAATACCTTTCATCCGTGGACTGCTTGCAGAGGCAAAGGCAATGTTCGCGGCTTTCACTGAGACCCACATAAAGGATCACTTGGACAACGAAATATGGATCCCAGGTTACAACCTATACAGATGTGACAGAGTGAACAGGCAAAAGGGGGGGGGTTGGCCTGTACATTGCAGAGTCACTTGTTTGCACAGAACTGCTAAATGCCTCAAATGATGTAGTGGAAGTTTTAGCAGTAAAGGTCGAGAACCAAAACCTAGTCATTGTGTAGTCTACAAGCCTTCCGGATGAAAATCCCAGCAATTCCAGGAACAGCTGTTTTTTAAAAATTGGACCTCTGTCTGGAAAAACCTTCCAGGATCCTGCACCCCAACATCTTGCTCTGGGGGATTTCAACTTAAGGCACTAAAATGGAGGATATAGCAATAATATTGGTTGCAGTAATAACACCAGGAGGCAGCTCTGATGAAAACCTCACACTACGCGAGCTTTTAAATCTCTGGCATAAATTTCAATTTAAACCAGCAAATAATAGAGCCTACTAGACTGGGAGAATACACTAGACCTCATCTTCCACTAACAAATGATGATCTGATAAGAAACAATATCCTCGATCACAACATAATTGAGGTTCAGTCATGTATGCGTTGGAGAGCCCCAGGACGACAATGAGATTAGGTCACGATGGGAGCATTCACAAATTCAACTTCAATAACAAAAAATTAAAGGGGACCAAGTGTAAAACCAAAGTCCTACCGATATAGAGCTGGAGAAGATATTGCGAAGCAACCCAAACCCCAACTTTGCCTTAGAACAGATTAACTCGGTTGCACTCGATATGTATACACAAGGCTTAGATTCCTCTAAGAAAAAGGAGAGTAGATGTAAACAGAAGAGACAGGTGCTCCTTTACAGGCGACGGAAAAAGAATAAAAGAGCGGCTAAAAGAGGTCAATATATCTGAAATGCGTAGGGAGACCTGGTCAGAGAAATAGCAAGCATCGAACTTAAGCTAAAAGAATCTTTCGGAGTTCAGGAATCGCGGGAAGAACTAAAAAAGCATAAATGAAATCGAAAGAAACCCAAAGTATTTCTTCTCCTATGCCAAAAATCAAAATCAAGAACAACGTCCAGTATTGGGCCCCTCTTAACAAGATGGATCCTACACAGATGACATCATGGTAATGAGTGAAGCTACTCAAGTCCCAATATGACTCAGTTTTTAGCAAGCCGCACTAACCAGACTGAGAGTCGAAGATTCAAAATGAATTTTTTATGAGAGAGCCACAAAATTTGATTAACACAAGGCCTATCCGATGTTATCTGACGGCCAAATGACTTCGAAACAGGCGATAAATGACATGCCCATGCACTCGGCCCCAGGGCCAGACTCTGGCATCCCCCCTGTGTTCATCAAGAACTGCAAGAAGTCCCTATCACGAGCTTTTCATCCTATGGAGAGGGAGCATGGCACGGGGGTCGTCCCACTGTTACTAAAACAACAAAGACTAGCCCCACTCCACCAAAGGGGTCAGTAAAGCAACAGCAAAGAACTACAGACAATAGCACAACATCCCATATCATAAAAATCTTTGAAAGGGTCCTAGAAGCAAGATCACCACCCATCTAGAAACCATCAGTTACACAACCCTGGGCAACATGGGTTTAGAACAGGTCGCTCCTGTCTGTCTCAAAAACTATTGGTCACTACGACCAAGTTCCTAAATTGCACTAGATGACGAAAGAATGCAGATGTAATATATAAAGACTTTGCAAAAGCCTTCGACAAGTTGTGAAACCATGGCGTAATAGCGCACAAAATGCGTGCTAAAGGAATACAGAAAAGTCGGTCGAAAAAAACAATATTGAAGTTCACGATGAGAAATTTCAATTACTCAGATATGGTAAACATGAGGAAATTAAATCTTCATCAGAGTATAAAACAAATTCTGGCCACAAAATAGAGCGAAACACCAACGTCAAAGACCTGGGAGTGATCATGTCGGAGGATCTCACCTTCAAGGACCATAACATTGTATCAATCGCATCTGCTAGAAAAATGACAGGATGGATAATGAGAACCTTCAAAACTAGGGAGGCCAAGCCCATGATGACACTCTTCAGGTCACTTGTTCTATCTAGGCTGGAATATTGCTGCACACTAACAGCACCTTTCAAGGCAGGTGAGATTGCCGACCTAGAAAATGTACAGAGAACTTTCACGGCGCGCATAACAGAGATAAAACACCTCAGTTATTGGGAGCGCTTGAGGTTCCTAAACCTGTATTCCCTGGAACGCAGGAGGGAGAGATACATGATTATATACACCTGGAAAATCCTAGAGGGACTAGTACCGAACTTGCACACGAAAATCACTCACTACGAAAGCAAAAGACTTGGCAGACGATGCACCATCCCCCCAATGAAAAGCAGGGGTGTCACTAGCACGTTAAGAGACCATACAATAAGTGTCAGGGGCCCGAGACTGTTCAACTGCCTCCCAGCACACACAAGGGGGATTACCAACAGACCCCTGGCAGTCTTCAAGCTGGCACTGGACAAGCACCTAAAGTCAGTTCATGATCAGCCGGGCTGTGGCTCGTACGTTGGTTTGCGTGCAGCCAGCAGCAACAGCCTGGTTGATCAGGCTCTGATCCACCAGGCGTCTGGTCACAGACCGAGCCGCGGGGGCGTTGATCCCCGGAACTCTCTCCAGGTAAACTCCAGGTAATTCCTAACAATGAAGTCTCATTGTAATTTGGCAGTATAGACCTCTGGTGGATGATTTTGGAATCATTTTGTGTGTGCATTTGTGTGTTGTGGGAAGCAAGTTTTTTTTTGAGCACTGGAGCTGTGCCATCATTTAATAATTTTTTTTTTCAACACAGTGGCTGTCTCCTACCTAGGCAGTGTGACCGTGAAAAAGAAGAAACTTAGTTTTTCTTTTTGTTACACTTAGTAATATGTATATTAATTGTATACAAATACTTTTTTGTATAATTTGTAAATTCATGTATGCCTATAGGCTGAATATTTTAGCTAACCTGAAACACTATACATAGGAGGGTATATAAATGTCATTATTTGGAATTATTAATTATATAACAGTCTTGTAATAATTTTTTCAATTATCCAGCACGTTTGATAAAAGAGAATAAAGTACTGAACTACTGTTACTTAATGAATACCATATATTGTAATGAAAGAAGACAATATTTTTGGGTATTTTTTTTTTATTAACACATTGGCCATTTCCCACCAAGGTAGGGTGGCCTGAAAAAGAAAAAGTTTTACCATCAATTACTCCATCACTGTCTTGCCAGAGGCAAGTGATATCTTACAATCAATATTTTTGCACAAAAGTTCATGCTCAGTCAGCAGGATAGAAGAAATCTGAATGTAAGCTAAAATTCTTTTACAATGAAAATGCAGCCACCATGTTTTCTTTTACCAGATACGGACAAAAGTAAAGAAAATATCGACCTGAATATAAGCAAAATTAAAAATAAAAAAGCAGGGAATGGAGAGCCAGAACCAAAGCGGCGAAGGATAATTCTCCATTCAGACACAGAGTCTGAGGATGAATATAAGCCAGGTGAGTACAGTATGTGTAGTATAGATTAGTTATCTGCATAATGAACGTGTCATTGTAGTACTTAAAGTGGGTGCTCAATTATCCAAACTATATGGGGCAGAACTTTGGCCTGATACAGGCCCATTCAGTTAAATGTACTGTAGGCCGACTTGTTGAAAAAAAAAAAAAAAAAATATATTTTATCTTGTTTGGTAGAATGCATCGCTGGGTATTTTCATATACATTTAGTAGTACATCTGTATTCTTTCTTTCAACACACCGGCCGTATCCCACCGAGGCGGGGTGGCCCAAAAGGAAAAATGAAAGTTTCTCCTTTTACATTTAGTAATATATACAGGAGAAGGGGTTGCTAGCCCCTTGCTCCTGGCATTTTAGTCGCCTCTTACAACACACATGGCTTACGGAGGAAGAATTCTGTTCCACTTCCCCATGGAGGTAAGAGGAAATAAACAAGAACAAGAACTAGTAAGAAAATAGAAGAAAACCCAGAGGGGTGTGTATATATATGCTTGTACATGTATGTGTAGTGTGACCTAAGTGTAAGTAGAAGTAGCAAGACGTACCTGAAACTTTGCATGTTTGTGAGACAGAAAACTGGACACTAGCAATCCTACCATCATTTAAAACAATTACAGGCTTTCGTTTTACACTCACTTGGCAGGACGGTAGTACCTCCCTGGGCGGTTGCTGTCTACCAACCTACTACCTAGACAAAAAATACTATGTATATTATTTTTTAACACACAAGCCCTGTCCCACCAAGTTTAAGGTGATCTGAAAGAAACGCTTTAATTTCACCATCATTCATTCAGTCAGTTGTCTTTCCGAACGTGTGCAAACATCACAGTTCAAATGACCGTTCTAACTGCATCATCCCCATCCCTTCTTTAGAGTGAAGCTGCTGTACTTTGTACTGTACCTCCAGGACTCAAGTCTGACTAATCAGTTTTCCCTAATCATTCATCAGTGTTATCTTGGTCACATTCCAACAGCACGTCAAATCATGACAACTACTTGCCTCCACTCACTCCTATCTAACACATGCACACCAGCCTGTTGGATGCCTAAGCCCCTCAAACATTAAATCTTTTTGACCACCCTCCTTTCAACCTTTCATGGCTAAGTACATTTGGAAACAAATATTAATTTACAAAATTGTTTCACATAATTTACCCAGGCAGTAGCAGTGATCCTTGGTTTGGCTTTGTTTTGACACTTGTGTGAGCTTTCTTTGTCTAATACACCTTCAATTATTAGCATTGTTACTAGACTCTTTTATGTGCTACAAATGAATGAAATTGATGTGCAGGACATGAAATGTTCACATGACAATATTGGCTTTTAGATTAGCAGGTAGAACAGGGCTGTTTGTTGGTTAAATCTAAAGTGTTTTCATATTCATTATCTGGCACATTTTCTCTTCCACTTCAGGGATTTATCTGTAGTGGAATTCAATCATATTATCCAGACTTCTTTCCTACAGTAAATGGAGCCACTCTTTCAACCATGACTCATAGTTTCTGCAAGGAATCAGACCAGGACAAGGAAATAATAAGCACTAAACACCAAAACAGGCTAAAATATTGTAAGAGAGCTTCAATAAGAAGGCAGTGAGTGGAACTTATTTAAAGAGAAAGTAGTAGTGATATACTCCACTTCCTGCACAAATTTAAAAAAAAGTTACATAGCTTATTTGGGAATGCATTGACGAGTTGATAATGCTTAAGATGGAACCCGGACCGGGACTCACTATTCCCGACACCATAGTTCGATATGCGAGTTTCCACAGACAAAAATTTTTCTTTTTTTTTACAGGCAAGGAGTGTTGAAAGTGAAAAATGAATCATTAAAATTTCCCGCGGGGATGAAAATGAATATCTGAGATAGAAACTGCTTCAGAGTTGATTCTCCTTCAAGGTATTGTTTTTCAATTTTTTTTTAAAATTACAAACTTTAAATATGTTAAAAATCCCATTAGTGGAGATAAAAAAATAAATTTAGAAGTTTACATCTTGAACCCTATCATTTATATGTTTAAAGTGCATTCCCGTTATCACAATCATTTTACACAGCTATCTATGGGATGAGATGTCACCATTTTTTTTAAACAGTATAGGACCCTTTTGAACCAAGTGAGAGAGTAATTGTGTGGGGGACTTGAAGCAAAAAGTAGGAAAATTTTAGAGAGGGTGTGTTAGGTAATTTTGGGGTGCCAGTTAAATAAATGGGACCCCTTTGATTGAATTTTGTATAAAAAGGGGGTTTATTTATAGGAAATAAAATTTTAAGAAAAAGAGGTAAATAATATACAGATATGATTAGGGCGAAATGACAGTAGTTTTTGGTTTGATTGGTAGATAAAAGACTGTTGAGTAGACTTCGGGGTACTTTTATGGGGGGGCCCCACAGAATATCAATATTTTTTTGTTGTAGCTAACTGAGAGTAAAAGGTAGTTGGGATCAAGGAGAATAGAAGCATCAGGGAAGAGAGAGGTGAAGGTTTATAAACTAAAAAGAGGAGGCATTTTGGGTAAGATATAAACATTTTTGGGAGGATAGATGGCTAATGAGGCATAGGCATGGGGTCAAGAGGTTGGGGTAGGTTTTAAAAATGTAGTGTTAGAGTGTTCAGCAAAAGTTTGGGGTTTACAGGAAAGTGGGTGAGGGGGGAAAGGGGAGCGATTGGTGGAATGATGATGAAAGAGAGTAGAAAGGGGAAAAAAAGTTAGATATGAAAAGTTTTTAAAAAGTAGAAGTGATGCAAGGGGGAAGGTTATGGAAAAAAGGAGAATTTAAAGGAGTGGTAAGCAATGAAAAAAAGAGGCAATAGAGAGTGGGTGAGATGTTTTCAACAAATTTTTTTGAAAATAAGAAAAATTTTTGGGAGTGGATAAACAATTAAGAAACCCTAGAGAACAAATGGATTTGTCATTTAAAAAAATAGGAAAAGGAAGTTATTAAAATGGAGAGTTAGGGGTATGGGAAGATGGAGGGAATATTTTGGGAATTTTTAAATGTTGATGAAATAGGGAAGCTGTGTTTTCGTGTATAGGGAAAGGAGGAAAAATCTTGTAGGAGTGAGGAAGGCCCAGTTGTGGTGTGGGGAATTTCGGAGGCAGTAGGTAAAAAAAAGGGGGGCAAGGCACCCGGGGGTTTGGGATGGATAAAGATAGAATTTAAAGCAGGAGGGGATATAGTTTTGGAGGGGTTGTGCAATATTAATAAAGTAGGAAGAGGGTAGGAAACCTAGGGTTTGGGCAGAGAGCATGCTAGTTTGTATAAAGGCAAAGGGGATAAAAGTGAGTGCAAAAATTATAGGGATAAGTCTGGTTGAGCTGTCACCTGGTAAAGTGTATGGTTAGATTATAATTAAAAATTAAGAGTAGACGGAGAATAGGATAGCAGATGACGGTTGCTTTAGAAAGTAGGGTGTGAGGAACCAAATGTTTACATTTTAAACATATAAGGACCATGTTTACAAGTTTAAGGAGGTAAAAGGGCATTTATATTTGAAACAATGCATTATGCAGTGTGTTGGGAACGTGGCAGATGTTCAAGTGTATGTGAGGAGGTAGGTTACTGCAACATCCCCAGAGTTTTTAGAGGATAGTGAGCTCAAGTTGGGTATGTAGGAATCAGGGAATTTTTCTAAAAGTATGCCTTAGACAAGATGTGTGATTACTTGGTTTTTCATAATTATAGAGGGTTGTAATCAAGTAACTGCGAGTCTTGCAAGAGGCTGAGTTAAAAGACTAAGACCCACAACACATGGTTTTGCACAGCTGCTCTTTAACTTTGCATGTGCTTTGGACATTCTGAAGACAAATTGCAAATTTGATGAAATTGGTAGATGTAACAAGAAGAAAATTAAAGTGAATCAGGTAATGGTATTGGTTTGAGATAGCATTTCTTGGTGATAAAAGCATTCAATATCAGATTGGGTACTAGAGTATGGTGGAGTGAAAGAATTAGATACTTGGGATGAAACGTGTCAGCGGATGGGTCTTGAAAGAGAGGTAGCATAGAAGCAGGGGGAAAGATGGTTAAGTGGTAAATGTTTCAATGAGTCTGTGGAGCAAATCTTTCCTTGGAGGCAAAGTATGGGAATGTATGAAGTATAGTTTATCCGACTCTTTCATAAATGAGTTTGAAGCTGCTGATATTTGCAAGCGAGGAAAAGGCGGAGGAGTAGAGACATGTCTGAGGGCAAAGGTGTGAATATAATGTAGAGAATGAGCTTCAATAAGAAGGAGGAGGTGGGGATTACAAAAGTTGTAGAGGGTGAGAACTTTTGAGTGTCGAAATTTTAAGAAATGGACAAGCAGATTGAATGCATAGACGAGTGTTGTAGTGAAGGAAGGGCTAGGCCTGGGCCTAGAAGGGTTGGAAGGCATGGGTAAAGGGTTTTGTGCGAGGCTTGGACTTTTTCCAGCAGTCATGCGTCAGGTGTGATAGATTTAAAAGTGGAAAATGGTTCTTTAATTATTTGAGTGCTGTTGGAGTGTGGCAAAGTAACTTTCAGAAGTGATTCAGATAACGGGTATGCCGGACTTTAGTCCTGAAAGATGGGAAGTAAGTGTTCACTATCCAAGGAGGGATGTTAATTTTAAATTTAAAAACTTTTGTGTCAAGCACCATTTAAGATATGATGGAGTTGATGTTAATTCATTTTACGGCAGCCACCCGTTTGGGATGGCAGTGTTCATAATAATAAAAAAATTAAAAATAGATAAGGTTGTGGAAGACATATACGTAGGGCGATGGAAAGGAGTGGGATTAAAAGATAAAGAATCTAATACCAAGTGGGAGTTGTTACAGTTACTTTTTGCTGATATGGTGCTTCTGGAAGGTTCTGAAGAGAAGTTGCAAAGATTGGTTGACAAATTTGGGAGGTCATGTAAAGGCAGGAAACTGAGAGTAAGTATAGGAAAGAGCAAGGTGATGAAATCACCAAAAAATTAGGTAAAGAAAGATTGGATATTAGACTGGATGGAGGGAGTATGGAGGAAGTGAATTTTTTTTCAACACACTGACTGTCTCCCACCAAAGTAGAGTGACCTGAAAAAAGAAGAAACACTTTCATAATCACTCACTTTGTCAGAAGTGAATGTGTTAATATATTAGAAGTGGATTTATTGGCAGATAGATTTGTGAAAGATGAGATTAACCATAGAATTGATGGTGGGTGGTTTAGCACAAACTTGTGTCTGTATATTCTGTAAGAAAATTGGAAGAAAAAATTGTGGTACAGTTACTAGGGGGGTACATAATTTTCTTGATACAGGATATATTTTATGAATTGTTATTTCTTAAATTCGTGATTTATTTTTATTCCCATCAGGCACCTGCAAATAAGCGCAAAAAACCAGCATTACCAAAGGGACGTAATTTGAATTCTTCTCTCTTATCCTCTCCATTGGCATCTAAATCTCCTGCGCCTACACCTTCCAGAGGTACTTCCAAACTTTTGGAAGGTACCAAATCCAAGCTTTCCATGTTTGCTGCAAAAGAGGTGAGTCAACAAGAATTTAGTATAGGAAAAGGCATTTGTTTAATTATTATAGTATTATTTATGGTGATTTCCACTTCCCCATTTGTGATTATTATGTAAAGAATTAATAGATCAGAAATTAGACAGTGTGGGTTACAAAAGGTATGATTCACTGACTGGAAAATGGGGTTGTTTAGGCAGTTTGGTGATTTAGAAAGGGTGGAACAGATTGGGATGACAGGAGGGTGGATAAATCCAGGGTAGAAGGAAGGAAGAGGGTAAGAGTCATTCCAGGAAGGGTTGGAGGGATTACAGTAAAAGTTTTTACTTTAGTATTAAGCAGGCATGTGCAAGTGTATGTCAGATCGAAGAGAGAGAGGAGACGACGATTTTTAGGATTTGACATGCTCATGGTGTGTCAGCAAGGTAACATTTATGAAGGGATTTATGGAAACTAATTTTTTCCCAGTAAAAGTAGGCCTTAGACAAGGATGTGTGATGTCACCGTGGTTGTTTAATATATTTATAGATGGGGTTGTAAGAGAAGTAAATGCGAGGGTCTTGGCAAGAGGCGTGGAGTTAAAAGATAAAGAATCACACACAAAGTGGGAGTTGTCACAGCTGCTCTTTGCTGATGACACTGTGCTCTTGGGAGATTCTGAAGAGAAGTTGCAGAGATTGGTGGATGAATTTGGTAGGGTGTGCAAAAGAAGAAAATTAAAGGTGAATACAGGAAAGAGTAAGATTATGAGGATAACAAAAAGATTAGGTGATGAAAGATTGAATATCAGATTGGAGGGAGAGAGTATGGGGGAGGTGAACGTATTCAGATATTTGGGAGTGGACGTGTCAGCAGATGGGTCTATGAAAGATGAGGTGAATCATAGAATTGATGAGGGAAAAAGAGTGAGTGGTGCACTTAGGAGTCTGTGGAGACAAAGAACTTTGTCCTTGGAGGCAAAGAGGGGAATGTATGAGAGTATAGTTTTACCAACGCTCTTATATGGGTGCGAAGCATGGGTGATGAATGTTGCAGCGAGGAGAAGGCTGGAGGCAGTGGAGATGTCATGTCTGAGGGCAATGTGTGGTGTGAATATAATGCAGAGAATTCGTAGTTTGGAAGTTAGGAGGAGGTGCAGGATTACCAAAACTGTTGTCCACAGGGCTGAGGAAGGGTTGAGGTGGTTCGGACATGTAGAGAGAATGGAGCGAAACAGAATGACTTCAAGAGTGTATCAGTCTGTAGTGGAAGGAAGGCGGGGTAGGGGTCGGCCTAGGAAAGGTTGGAGGGAGGGGGTAAAGGAGGTTTTGTGTGCGAGGGGCTTGGACTTCCAGCAGGCATGCGTGAGCGTGTTTGATAGGAGTGAATGGAGACAAATGGTTTTTAATACTTGACGTGCTGTTGGAGTGTGAGCAAAGTAACATTTATGAAGGGATTCAGGGGAACAGGCAGGCTGGACTTGAGTCCTGGAGATGGGAAGTACAGTGCCTGCACTCTGAAGGAGGGGTGTTAATGTTGCAGTTTAAAAACTGTAGTGTAAAGCACCCTTCTGGCAAGATAGTGATGGAGTGAATGATGGTGAAAGTTTTTCTTTTTCGGGCCACCCTGCCTTGGTGGGAATCGGCCAGTGTGATAATAATAAAAAAAATAATTAGTGGACTTGAAATTTTGGAGATGGGAAGTACAATGTTGGCATTCTGAAGGAGAGGTGGAGATGTTACAGTTTGGAGAGGTCATTTGAATTATGAATTTACCAGTTTGGCAAGAAAGTGTTTAAATAAACACTTGGGGCTTGGACTTCCAGCAGGCGTGCATGAGCGTGTTTGATAGGAGTGAATGGAGACGAATGGTATTTGGGACTTGACGATCTGTTGGAGCGTGAGCAGGGTAATATTTAGTGAAGGGATTCAGGGAAACCTGCTATTTTTATATAGCTGGACTTGAGTCCTGGAAATGGGAAGTACAATGCCTGCACTCTAAAGGAGGGGTTTTGGGATATTAACAGTTTGGAGGGACATGTTGTGTATCTTTATACGTATATGCTTCTAAACTGTTGTGTTCTGAGCACCTCTGCAAAAACAATGATTATGTGTGAGTGAGGTGAAAGTGTTGAATGATGATGAAAGTGTTTTCTTTTTGGGGATTTTCTTTCTTTTTGGGTCACCCTGCCTCGGTGGGAGATGGCCGACTTGTTGGAAAAAAAAAATGGGGGGGGGGGGGGTGTCACTCTATCTTCGTGAAAGATAGCCATTGTTTAAAAATATACAGTAGGACCCCTGTATCCACGGAGGATACGTTCCAAGGACCTGCCACGGGTACCAAAATGTTATAAAGTTTAATTGATAAATTATGCACAATAAGTGGAGAATTATCACTTGTTCACTGATGGGAAGCACTTCACGGCTTCTTTTAGGCTTTGAAGAACTGCCAGCTTCTCTACTTTTGCACTTTGAAGCCATTATTATACAGAATTAAGAGGTATTTATGGGCTTCAGTAAACCATGGATAACTGAAACCACGGATGCTGAATCAGTGGATACGGACTTCTACTGTATGTATATGCCATTCTTCATTCTTGTGGTGATTATTTTTAGCATGATAATATATAACAGTACTGTAAACTAGTCTTATTACATAACTTTTTCTATTTTCCACCCTATGTAAGTGTGAGATGGCTGGCGTGTTAAAAAAATTCATCTGTCATTTCTGTGTCTAATGTCAGCAATTTTCTACAGACACCTTCACAGGTCCAAGAAAGCTCTGAAGACTGGCCTTTTCTTAAGTATCCTTGGCTACAGCCTGAGAATATACGTGATCGTGAGAAGCGTTCACCTGACCACCCTGAGTACAATCCAAGAACTCTATATGTACCCGAGAGCTTTCTGAATCAACAGACTCCAGTAAGCAGTTTGATCTAAAATTGTCACTATTGTTATTGCTGTATTATTTCCCCCTGATTAAAAAAGATTAATTCACTTAAATATTAACCAAAATATTAATACTGTACAATACCTAAAGTCTGACTCATTTTTTTCCCTTGCTCAATTTTTACGGTTTTCCTAAGATTCGCAAATCTGACACTCTTTTATGCTCCATTTTCTTTAGAGGCTGTCTCTTATTGTCTTGCCATATTTTTGCTAAAATTCTCACCCACTTTTATTTTCCTGCATACACTTAATTAGGACTTTATATGTGAAATTGTATCACCGCAACCAAATTATAAGAAGTTGTATCCACATGAAATCCCATCTCATCTTTCTCTTCACCCTTATCATTTAGTGATTGTCTCACTTTTCTCAGGGAGAAAGTTACTTTGTTAAATTATCTTAGTATCACTGATTTTTTCCTAATTTAACTTTCTTTGTGTTAATTCTAACTCTAAGTCTTTCTGTAGTGACTACTGTTCTCAAGTATTTAATGTTATCATGGGCTCTTTTTATCAATTTTACCTCCTAATCTTCATATGAGATATCAATGCTGCTGTTCTTCCTACTGTCAGTGGATGACCTGTCTGGTTTTGAACTGTAGAGGATGCCTTCATGTTATGGCCTCATAACTAACCATCTTTCTTCCTTTGTTAAATTTGAAGTTAACCATAAATTGAACTTCCTGTTATATGTACAATTTCAAGAGGGTTTTCTACTCTCACACTCAGCCTGAGGCCTAGCTTTCTTAGTGACTTTACTGATGTTAATAAAGCCATATATGTTTGAGTGCCTGAAATTTTGTAATTTTTTATATTTAATGAAGAATTTTTTTAAAAATCCATTGACTTGTGTTTTAATTTTATACTATGGCAAATGAATTAAAAGTGTTGGCATCTTGTTTTCTTCATTGTCATCATTTTTTAATTGATAAATTATTGCTGTAGATGTCCTTTGGTACATTTCTTATATTTTCACATTAGCTGTTTTTAAATTAATGAATTTCTTTATCATCAGGCATTAAGACAGTGGTGGGACATCAAATCTCAGCATTATGATACTGTTTTGTTCTTCAAAATGGGCAAATTTTATGAACTGTTTAACATGGATGCCACACTGGGAGTACAGGAATTAGGCCTCATTATGATGAAGGTATGTATGCAAACAATGTGACTAATCATTTGCTAAGATTCTACTTAAGTGATGGATTTTTTTTTTAATCTTCCATATTTCTTATTGCCATTATCATTTTGAATTATGAAACGAAAGCCTGTAATTGTTTTACATGATGGTAGGATTGCTGGTGTCTGTTGTCTGTCTCATGAATATGCAAGATTACAGGTATGTCTTGCTACTTCTACTTACACTTAGGTCACACTACACATATATGTACATGTTTATTTATATACACTCATCTGAGTTTTCCTTGATTTTATCTTAATAGTTCTTGGTCTTATTACTTTTCCTTTTATATCCATGGGGAAGTGAAATAAGAATCTTTCCTCCGTAAGCCATGCGTGTTGTAAAAGTCAACTAAAATGCTGGGAACAATGGGCTAGTAACCCCTTTTCCTGTAATAATTACTAAAAAGAATAAGAAGAAGAAAATTGCCAAAGTGGGAAGTCTGAATGTGCGTGGATGTTGTGCAAATAATAAGAAAGAGATGATTGTGGATGTTATGAATGAGAAGAAGCTGGATGTCCTGGCTTTAAGTGAAACAAAGCTGAAAGGGGTGGGAGAGTTTCAATGGAGAGGAATAAATGGGATTAGGTCAGGGGTTTCAAATAGAGTTAGAGCTAAAAGAGTAGCAATAATGTTGAAGGATAAGTTATGGCAGGAAAAGAGGGACTATAAATGTATTAATTCAAGGATTATGTGGAATAAAATAAAGGTTGGATGTGAAAAGTGGGTTATAGTAAGTGCATATGCACCTGGAGAAGAGAGAAGTGTAGAGGAAAGAGAGAGATTCTGGGAAATGTTGAGTGAATGCGTGGGGAGTTTTGAACCAAGTGTGAGAGTAATGGTGGTTGGGGATTTCAATGCTAAAGTGGGCAAAAATGTTGTGGAGGGAGTAGTAGGTAAATTTGGGGTGCCAGGGGTAAATGTAAATGGGAAGCCTTTAATTGAGCTATGTGTAGAAAGAGGTTTGGTAATAATACATATTTTATGAAGAAGAGGATAAATAAATATACAATAAATATCAAGAAGCATAAATAATAGGAGTCCTCAGGTTGTTCTTCAACTCTATACATCCTTGGTTAGGCCTCATTTAGATTATGCTGCACAGTTTTGGTCACCGTATTACAGAATGGATATAAATGCTCTGGAAAATGTACAAAGGAGGATGACAAAGTTGATCCCATGTATCAGAAACCTTCCCTATGAGGATAGACTAAGGGCCCTGAATCTGCATTCTCTAGAAAGACGTAGAATTAGGGGGGATATGATTGAGGTCTATAAATGGAAGACAGAATAAATAAAGGGGATGTAAATAGTGTGCTGAAAATATCTAGCCTAGACAGGACTCGCAGCAATGGTTTTAAGTTGGAAAAATTCAGATTCAGGAAGGATATAGGAAAGTACTGGTTTGGTAATAGAGTTGTGGATGAGTGGAACAAACTCCCAAGTACACTTATAGAGGGCAGAACGTTGTGTAGCTTTAAAAATAGGTTGGATAAATACATGAGTGGGTGGGTGTGAGTTGGACCTGATAGCTTGTGCTACCAGGTCGGTTGCCGTGTTCCTCCCTTAAGTCAATGTGACCTGACCTGACTAGGTTGGGTGCATTGGCTTAAGCCGGTAGGAGACTTGGACCTGCCTCGCATGGGCCAGTAGGCCTCCTGCAGTGTTCCTTCATTCTTATGTATGATATAGCACGTAATGAAAGTAGTTTCTTAGATTATGTATTGGTGGATAAAAGGTTGCTAGGTAGTAGGTTGGTAGACAGCAGCCACCCAGGGAGGTACTACCGTCCTGCCAAGTGAATGTAAAATGAAAGCCTGTAATTGTTTTACATAATGGTAGGATTGCTGGTGTTTTTTCTGTCTCATGAACATGCAATGTTTCAGGTACGTCTTGCTACTTCTGCTTACACTTAGGTCACACTACACATACATGTACAAGCATATGCATACATAGTTTTAAGGCGAGGTATGATAGAGCTCATGGGGCAGGGAGAGAGAGGACCTAGTAGCAATCAGCGAAGAGGCGGGGCCAGGAGCTGTGACTCGACCCCTGCAACCACAAATAGGTGAGTACACCCCTCTGGGTTTTCTTCTATTTTCTTACTAGTTCTTGTTCTTGTTTATTTCCTCTTATCTCCATGGGGAAGTGGAACAGAATTCTTCCTCCGTAAGCCATGCGTGTTGTAAGAGGCGACTAAAATGCCAGGAGCAAGGGGCTAGTAACCCCTCCTCCTGTATATATTACTAAATGTGAAAGGAGAAACTTTTGTTTTTCCTTTTGGGCCACCCCGCCTCGGTGGGATACGGCCGGTGTGTCGAAAGAAAGAAAGGATAAAAGGTTGATGGGTAGGCTCCAGGATGTACACGTTTATAGAGGGGCAACTGATATATTGGATCATTATTTAGTTGTAGATACAGTTAGAGTAAGAGGTAGATGGGAAAAGAGGAAAATGGCAACAACAAGCAAGAGGGAGGTGAAAGTGTATAAACTAAGGGAGGAGGAAGTTCGGGTGAGATATAAGCAACTGTTGGCAGAAAGGTGGGCTGGTGCAAGTATGAGTAGTGGGGGAGTTGAAGAGGGTTGGAATAGTTTTAAAAATGCAGTATTAAAATGTGGGGTAGAAGTTTGTGGTTATAGGAGGGTGAATTTACCAGTTTGGCAAGAAAGTGTTTGAATAAACACTAGGGGCTTGAACTTCCAGCAGGCGTACATGAGCGTGTTCGATAGGGGTGAATGGAGACGAATGGTATTTGGGACTTGACGATCTGTTGGAGTGTGAGCAGGGTAATATTTAGTGAAGGGATTCAGGGAAACCAGCTATTTTTATATAGCCGGATTTGAGTCCTGGAAATGGGAAGTACAATGCCTGCACTCTAAAGGAGGGGTTTTATGATATTAGCAGTTTGGAGGGACATGAAAGAAAGAGGAGTAATTGGTGGAATGAAGAAGTAAAGGGTGTGATAAAAGAGAAAAAGTTAGCTTATGAGAGGTTTTCACAAAGCAGAAGTGTTATAAGAAGAGTAGAGTATATGGAGAATAAAAGAAAGGTGAAGAGAGTGCAAAAGGAGAGCAGATGATAGAGTGGGAGTGGCACTGTCAAGAAATTTTAATGACAGTAATAAAAAAAATTTGGGGTGAGTTAAACAAGTTAAGAAAGCCTAGAGAATGAATGGATTTGCCAATTAAAAACAGAGTAGGGGAGTGAGTAGATGGGGAGATGGAGGTTTTGGGTAGATGGCGAGAATATTTTGAGGAACTTTTCAATGAAAGGGAAGGCAGTAATTTCATTCACTGGCCAAGGAGGTATACCATCTTTTAGGAGTGAAGAAGAACAGGATGTAAGTGTGGGAGAGGTGCGTGAGGCATTACGTAGAATGAAAGGTGGTAAAGCAGCTGGAACTGACGGGATCATGACAGAAATGTTAAAAGCAGGGGACGATATAGTGTTGGAGTGGTTGGTATTTTTGTATATTAAATGTATGAAAGAGGGGAAGGTACCTAGGGATTGGCAGAGAGCATGTATAGTCCCTTATTATAAAGGGAAGGGGGACAAAAGAGATTGTGAAAATTATAAAGGAATAAGTTTACTGAGTATACCAGGAAAAGTGTATGGTAGGTTTTATTATTGAAAGAATTAGAGGTAAGACAGAATGTAGGATTGCGGATGAGCAAGGAGGTTTCAGAGTGGGTAGGGGATGTGTAGATTAAGTGTTTACATTGAAGCATATATGTGAACAGTATTTACATAAAGGTAGGGAAGTTTTTATTGCATTTATGGATTTAGAAAAGGCATATGATAGAGTGGATAGGGGAGCAATGAGGCAGATGTTGCAAGTATATGGAATAGGTGGTAAGTTACTAAATGCTGTAAAGAGTTTTTATGAGGATAGTGAGGCTCAGGTTAGGGTGTGTAGAAGAGAGGGAGACTACTTCCCATTAAAAGTAGGTCTTAGACAGGGATGTGTAATGTCACCATGGTTGCTTAATAAATTTATAGATGGGGTTGTAAAAGAAGTAAATGCTAGGGTGTTCAGGAGAGGGGTGGGATTAAATTATAGGGAATTAAATATTGGCAGTTTGGAGGGATATGTTGTGTATCTTTATATGTGTATGCTTCTAAACTGTTGTATTCTGAGCACCTCTGCAAAAACAGTGATAATGTGCAAGTGTGGTGAAAGTGTTGAATGATGATGAAAGTATTTTCTTTTTGGGGATTTTCTTTCTTTTTTGGGTCACCCTGCCTCGGTGGGAGACGGCCGACTTGTTGAAAAAAAAAAAATTAAATGCAAAATGGGAATTGACACAGTTGCTTTTTGCTGATGATACTGTGCTTATGGGAGATTCTTAAGAAAAGTTGCAAGGTTAGTGGATGAGTTTGGGAGTGTGTGTAAAGGTAGAAAGTTGAAAGTGAACATAGAAAAGAGTAAGGTGATGAGGGCATCAAATGATTTAGATAAAGAAAAATTGGATATAAAATTGGGGAGGAGGAGTATGGAAGAAGTGAATGTTTTCAGAAACTTGGGAGTTGACGTGTCGGCGGATGGATTTATGAAGGATGAGGTTAATCATAGACTTGATGAGGGAAAAAAGGTGAGTTGTGCGTTGAGGTATATGTGTAGACAAAAAACGTTATCTATGGAGGCAAAGAAGGGAATGTGTGAAAGTATAGTAGTACCAACACTCTTATATGGGTGTGAAGCTTGGTTTGTGAATGCAGCAGCGAGGAGGTGGTTGGAGGCAGTGGAGATGTCCTGTCTAAGGGCACTGTGTGGTGTAAATATTATGCAGAAAATTCGGAGTGTGGAAATTAGGAGGTGTGGAGTTCATAAAAGTATTAGTCAGAGGGCTGAAGAGGGATTGTTGAGGTTTTTTGGTCATTTAGAGAGAACGGATCAAAGTAGAATGACATGGAGAACGTATCAATCTGTAGGGGAAGGAAGGCGGGTTAGGGGTCATCCTCGAAAAGGTTGGAAGGAAGGGGTAAGGGAGGTTTTGTGGGCGAGGGGCTTGGACTTCCTGCATGCGTGCATGAGCGTGTTCGATAGGAGTGAATGGAGACGAATGGTATTTGGGACCTGACGATCTGTTGGAGTGTGAGCAGGGTAATATTTAGTGAAGGGATTCAGGGAAACCGGTTATTTTTATATAGCCGGACTTGAGTCCTGGAAATGGGAGGTACAATGCCTGCACTCTGAAGGAGGGGTTTGAGATATTGGCAGTTTGGAGGGATATGGCATGTATCTTTATACGTATATGCTTCTGAACTATTGTGTTCTGAGCGCCTCTGCAAAGACAAGTGATTATGTGTGAGTGAGGTGAAAATGTTGAATGATGATGAAAGTGTTTTCTTTTTGGGGATTTTCTTTCTTTTTGGGTCACCCTGCCTCGGTGGGAGACAGCCGTCTTGTTAAAAAAAAAAAAAAATTCTGGCAAGCTCCATGGGGAAGTGGAATAGAATTCTTCCTCTGTAAGCCATGCATGCTGTAAGAGGCAACTAAAATGCCGGGAGCAAAGGGCTAGTAACCCCTTCTCCTGTGTACTTTACTAAATTTAAAAAGAGAAACCTTTATTTTTCTTTTTAGGTCACCCTGCATTGGTGGGATATGGCCAATTTGTTGAAATAAAAAAAAGTCTAACACAGATGTGCCACCATATTAACCTTAATTTTGATGTTGTGATAACCTAATTCTACAGAGACTACAGCCATATACCTATTATCTTACCCCAGTGGAATTTGAGAGAGATCATATTGTCATAAAGTAGTACTATACTGGAATATGTGACATTCACGCCCTCTATTAATATAGAAAGTTCTTTTGCATAATCAGATAATAGATTTTCTCCAACCTTGTGTAGACATTACTCCGGTCTCCAGATTTACTTGGTGATGGTGCTGAGGATGATTGCCCCATTGTCCACTTACTCCATGCCACCTGGTTGATGTAAATACTACAGCCCATCTGGGCAGGAAAGTTTGTAGGAATTTGCCAGGATCCATATAAAAGTCATGGATCTGTTGGTATTTCCCCTTATACTTAATGGGAGGATGTAAAAATGCCTTTGCTTATTGAATTAGGTCTTATTAAGTCCTTATTACACTAATTTTTTGTTGAGGTACTATACCACATTTCTCTTATAGGTGGATATGTCCATGTGCAAATTTAGAGCTATTTCCTGTAGTACTTTGTAGGTGTTAATTATATACTTTTTCTTGTCAGTTGAGGGATTTAGCCATTTTCAGTAATGTGGGAAGCAAAACGTTTGTAAATTCTACAGATATAATTTTGCCAATTGTACAGTGCATTTGAACCCTATGTAGTTTTATTTGTTTTTGCAGGGAGAAAAGGCTCATGTAGGATTTCCAGAAATTGCTTATGGACGCTATTCCTCAACTTTGATAGAAAAGGGTTATAAAGTTGCACGTATTGAGCAGACTGAAACTCCAGACATGATGGAGAAGCGTTGTAAAAATTGTAAGTAATTAAGTTTTAAGATAGAATTCTTTTGTAGAATTAAATGTGAAAATAGTTTTATAGAGCCCACATAAAAAAAAAAATTTTTGTGGAATTCAATGATTATAAATCTGTCAATCATTAGCTTTTTGTATCTTTTTCACACTGATTTGTGATTGTTTATTTTGTTAAATGTGCACAGAGTCATTCATCTGAAATGGAATATGGAATCAGGGTTAATGGAGTTACAAGTGGTAAAGAATTCTTGAACAATTCCTTTAAGAAGTAAAATTGATATGAATTCTGTATATAGAGTGTATAAATAATGTGTACAGTACTGTACTGCAATTTTTCACATACTCTAGTATAAATAACTTTACACGGGGTTCATTTAACAGTGAGTCGTCCAACAAAGTTTGATCGTGTTGTGCGACGTGAAGTGTGCCAAGTGAGCAGCAGAGGAACTAGAGTCTACAGCTTTTTGGATGGAGAAGCCGCAGAAACTTCAACATCTTACCTTTTAGCTCTTACTGAAAGGGTTTGTTAATAAATATTTTTATTTTTTCAGTGTATGTTGCTATTAAAAATTAATTCACTAATGGTATCTAAAAACATTTATGTGGTTTAGTGACTCAAAATTCTTCTGATTGGAAATGATACAGTTTTCACTTTTTTTTTTTTAATAAAATACCCACCTTGAAACCCACACATTTTATTTTAAAAAATTGTTTAACATCTTATTTATTCTGCTGCATTATATAGTTTTTGTGAACTTAGTTTTGATGTATACCAATACTCTAATTTGTCTTTCATTTAAATGAAAATATTTAACCTAGCTTGTATATAGTTCTGTGGATCACCACTCTTGGGGCCCAGTCTCAGACCAAACATGGCTGACAATCCTAGTCAGTTAGGCTCTTAATACTTGTACACAGCTTGATGATACAAGCATTAACCCTTAAACTGTCCAAACATAGATCTACATTTGGGCGTGTAGTGCTCCAAACGTAGATCAGCGTATTATTTTTCATTCCTTCAAATTTGGGACAGTAGGCTTGAGTTGCCTAGACATGAAAGAATGGGTCTGTGCACTCAGTGTGCACACTATTAAAAAAATCTGGGAGCACTTAGTACCTTGTCTGAGTACCAGTTCAATTGAGCGCCAGCTAGAGCAAATAATGTTACAAACACCAGGGATTCACTGATGCCATGTCGCATTAACACTCCCGTTTTAAGAGGAAAGTAAAAATATGTTAAATAAATACATGAGTGAGTGTTGGTGGGTGTGAGTTGGACCTTACTATCTTGTGCTACTAGGTCTGATGTCATGCTCCTTCCTTCAATGGATGTGACCTGACTAGGTGGGTCATAGGTCTAAGCCAGGGGAAGGAGGGTGACATGTACCTGCCTTGCATAGGCCAGTAAACCTGAATTAAGCCTGAATACCTTCCATCCCCCTGCCACAGACGCTGTACTTCCCCATGATTTTAATAATAATCAGTTGGCATTTTTAATGCACCCATGATTTTCACTGGGGCTATCCTGCCTCGTCTACTGTGCCTTCTGCTCTTGTATACATTTATTTCAGTGTTCAGATTTAAAGCAAGTTCCTTCATCATTTTCCAAGTGTAAATTATGTTTCAGTCAAGATTCAAGAAATCATCACCCCCAAAACTCCTAAATTTTGTTCCAGAGATTAAGATTACTGAGTGAAACTTATTTTTCCCAAACATGCGAGTTCTTAATGGAAATGCAATCCAGGATAAAATTTGGTTTACTTTTTCTATTAAATTCAAAACTTCCTGTAACTAGAAACTGCATTTTCATTGTAACCTACACTTTTGTGTAGGTTGCAATGAAAATAGCAGTTGTGTGTGTGTTTCTGTAATTTAATATTTAAACTTAAAAATGAAATATTATGCTTTACTACATAGTCATGTATTTTGAAGAAGAGATGCACGAGGATACTCCATGGAGAAGTGGAAAAGAATTCTTCTTCCATTACCATAAGCCATGCATGTTGTAAGAGGTAACTAAAATGCCGAGAGCAAGGGGCTAGTAACCCTTCTCCTGTATACATTACTATAGTTAAAAAGAGAAACATTTGTATTTTCTTTTTGGGCCACCCTGTCTCAATGGGATTTGGCCAGTTTGTTAAAAGAAGATGTAAAGAGGATACTCCATGGGGAAGTGGAAAAGAATTCTTTCTCTCTAAGCCATGCGTGTCATCAGAGGTGACTAAATGCCGGGAATAAGGGGCTAGTAACCCCTTCTGTGTAAATTACTAAATTTAAAAAGAGAAACATTCATTTTCCTTTTTAGGTCACCCTGTCTCAGTGGGTGTCTTCAAAGAAGAGGAGGTTTAGCGCTTCTCTATTTTTTTTTTTTTTTTTCAACAAGTCGGTCGTCTCCCACCGAGGCAGGGTGACCCAAAAAAAGAAAGAAAATCCCCAAAAAGAAAATACTTTCATCATCATTCAACACTTTCACCACACTCACACATTATCACTGCTTTTGCAGAGGTGCTCAGAATATAACAGTTTAGAAGCATATACGTATAGAGATACACAACATATCCCTCCAAACTGCCAATATCCCAAACCCCTCCTTTAAAGTGCAGGCATTGTACTTCCCATTTCCAGGACTCAAGTCCGACTATATGAAAATAACCGGTTTCCCTGAATCCCTTCACTAAATATTACCCTGCTCACACTCCAACAGATCGTCAGGTCCCAAGTACCATTCGTCTCCATTCACTCCTATCTAACACGCTCACGCACGCTTGCTGGAAGTCCAAGCCCCTTACCCACGAAACCTCCTTTACCCCCTCTCTCCAACCCTTTCGAGGACGACCCCTACCCCGCCTTCCTTCCCCTATAGATTTATATGCTTTCCATGTCATTCTACTGTGATCCATTCTCTCTAAATGACCAAACCACCTCAACAACCCCTCTTCTGCCCTCTGACTAATACTTTTATTAACTCCACACCTTCTCCTAATTTCCACACTCCGAATTTTCTGCATAATATTTACACCACACATTGCCCTTAAACAGGACATCTCCGCTGCCTCCAACCGTCTCCTCGCTGCTGCATTTACCACCCAAGCTTCACACCCATATAAGAGTGTTGGTACTACTATACTTTCATACATTCCCTTCTTTGCCTCCATAGATAACGTTTTTTGACTCCACATATACCTCAACGCACCACTCACCTTTTTTCCCTCATCAATTCTATGATTAACCTCATCCTTCATAAATCCATCCGCCGACACGTCAACTCCCAAGTATCTGAAAACATTCACTTCTTCCATATAATATATATATAATATATATATTGAGTGTAGTGAATAAACACGAAAAGATCTTTTTGTTTCTGTTCGTGATTGATCACCAATCAGTCTTAGGATAAAAGCGTTTTAACATAGGGCTGGAATACGTCTGTACACTAACAGCCCCCAGTAAAGTCAGGAGAAATTGCTAATCTAGATAATGTACAGAGAACCTTTACTGCATGTATTAGTTCAGTGAAGCACCTTAATTCCTGGGAATGTTGGAAGTCCTTTGACCTGTACTGCCTGAAATGCAGGCAAGACATGTACATCATAATCTAGGAGGGCATATAAATCTATAGTGGAAATGAGGAGGGGTAGGGGTTGTCCTAAGAAATGTTGGAGGGTGGTGTTAAAGGAGGTTTTGAGTGCTACCTTTGATGAATGTCGAGAGTTTTGCTACTCTCAGAGCCAGACCAGGGGCTTGGACGTCCAACAGGCTTGTGTGAGCATGTTAGACACAAGTGAGTGGGGGCAAGTGGTTTTATGATTTTACATGCTCTTGGAATGTGAATGGGGTAACATGAAGGGATTCAAGGATGCCACATAGTCAAACTTGAGTCCTGGAGCTGAGAAGCACAGTTCCTGCATTCTGGAGGAGAGATGGAGATGTTACAGTTTGGAGGGTCATTTGAGCTGTAATGTCAGTATACTTCAGGCAAAATGGTGATTGAATGATAATGAAAGTATTTTCTTCTTAGTTGGGTCACCCTACCTCTCTGGGAGATGGCTGGAATTTTAATAGTATTATTATTATTTTGTTATTCATTTACCAACAGTACAATACAGTTTGTACGATAATTACACTACACATCTAGCATCACCACATCTAGCATCACTATGCATCTAGCATCACTACACATCTACCACTACTACACATTTATCACCCTATACTACACATCTCTCACCCAATACAAGGCATCTATAACCACTGCACTACACATCTACCACTACTAGACATCTACCACAACTACATATCTTCCAACACTGCACATGTATCACCCTACACCTACACACCTATCACCACTACACATCTGTCACCCTACACCACATATATATCACCAGTACACTACACTTATATCACTTCTACATTACACTTATATCAGCACTACACTACACATTTATCACCCTACAATACACATCTATCACTGTGACACTACACATCTATCACCCTACACTACACATCTATCACACAACTACACTACTACACTACATCTATTACCCTACACTACACATCTATCACCATTACACTACATATCTACCACCCTACACTACACATCTCCAGCCACTACACTATACAAGCACTGATAGTGTTCCAGACTCTGACACATCTCTAACACAATAAGGACTAATAACACAGCAGCAGCAGTTGAAATTTTTTTTTTCAACAAGTCGGCCATCTCCCACCTAGGCAAGGTGACCCAAAAAGAGAGAAAATTCCCTAAACGAAAATACTTTCATCATTCAAGACTTTCACCTCACTCATGCATAATCATTGTTTTTGCAGAGGTGTCCAGATACAACAGTTTAGAAGCATATGTAAAGAAACTATATAAAAAGTGACTTAACCCTTTCAGGGTTTCGGCCGTACTAGTACGCTTACGCCCCAGGGTTTTTGACGTACTAGTATGCCTAAATTCTAGCGCCCTCAGATCTAGTGAGAGAAAGCTGGTAGGCCTACATATGAAAGAATGGGTCTGTGGTCAGTGTGTGCAGTATAAAAAAAATCCTGCAGCACACAGTGTGTAATGAGAAAAAAAAACTGTGTTTTTGGATTAAAACAGCGACTTTGCACTGCATTTTCGTATGGTATTTATGGTTGTATTCTAGTTTTCCTGATCTCATTTTATAGAATGGAAGACATATTACAGAAATTGAGATAATTTTGACTGGTTTTACAATGAAAAGTACTTCGAAATTGAGCCCAAAGTAGCAGAAATGTTCGATTTTTACCAAAGTTCAAAAGTAAACAAATCGTGCCAAGCGTCCAATACACATCAACTGGCGAGTCTAATATTCTTTCACAAGTGCGCTGACATAATTTATACCATTTCTACACTAATGCAGTAGTCTGCATAACAGTAAATCTTCTATTTTTTGTAAGAATAAAAATTCAAAGTGGAAAGCCAAAGAAATATAAGAGGGGCCTGGGGATGTGACTAACGAACAGAGAACTAGTTATTTTAGTGCCAGGAATGTCTTGT